AAGATTACAGTTGACCGAATTCGCTCAAACAAAGGTATTCTGCCACTAAGTAAGTATGAGCTTTCTCGTGGCGATCCACGAAGGATAGTGCATCCGAAAACTAAGGGTCAAGTGCGCTCCTATTTCTTTTCTCTTCAATTTCGCTAGGGGACAGAGAAAGACATCGACGGGACGAGCTTCTAGAACGGCTTCGTCGTGTGCGTGTGGTCAGTTTCGCTAACTGACTCAGTAAGGTGTCGACTTTGTGTTCTAGAGTCTGTATTCTATCGTGAGTGTCTGGTATTCTGCTAGTGGAAGCGACAGATTGAGGTGTTGACCTCTCGTACATGCGATCCGCGATTTCGGTGAGCCTTTCTATGTCAATGTCGTCGTCTCCGAAAGCAAGCACCTGCTGGATGTTTGCAGGAAGTTGTCGCAGCCAGATTTGGTGAAAGAGACGTTTATCGATTTCTCTTCCTGCAACTAGGCTTTGCATATGCTTCATGAGTTGCGATGGGGTTTTATCACCTAACTCAACATTGCTTAACAGGCGATCGAGTGCTTGCCTATCCGAAAACGAAGTGCATCGCAGTACCTCTTCCTTCAACTTGTCGTCAGGCGCTTCTGTGCTGGGTTGGACGATTTATTGCCGTACCTGCTCGGCGACTTCGTCTGGTAGTACTGTACTCAAAATGCCAAATTTAGCTGTCTGTGACGTGGGCTTATTGCTAGCCAAATAATGCTCCAGTCGTGCAAACCAAAGATGAGGGTCTCTGAGCTTAAAAACTGGTACAGTAAGAGAAATAGTACTAACGGATCCCAGCTCTAAGTTATCAGAGGTATTGGAAGACATGTTACAATTCGTAAAAATGGTTTAAGAGTAGCAAAATAGCAAAATTTGTGCACAATAAGAATATGGCAAAACAGAAAAACATGCAGTGCAGATGCTTACCGCAATTTACTGCAGGTTGTGCGATGAGACAGCACAAGAATGAGTTCGAAATGTCCAGTAAATATATAGATCCGCGAAAGTTAGAGTTTTATTAATCCGGCAAGTGTGACGATGCATCGAGGTCAACAAGTTGTCGTCGTCGGGGTCAACAGGTTGTTGTCGGACTCACCAATTTGTTGTGTGTTCTATTTGACTAAATTGGCGTACACGTATTTTCTAGCACTTCTTCACGTTTATCAATGTGCGCAGACGTTGTGGCTACTCGACGCCCACAACGTAAAATCAGAAGGCACTTGTGAAGAGTGTAATCGTGTATTATAGCCGTAGTCAAATTTCAAAAATTTTGTCAAGGTAATGTTCAACAGTAAATTGACAAATGTTTACGAAGTACATATAAAATCGGTCTGTGTGAACGTATAATATAAGTATGCAAATTAGATTAAAATGTGTGTGTTTATAGTTGGTATAGGGGTACTACAAGTCAAATGCCTTTGAAATGCGGAGAGTGACCACACGGAATAGAGCACTCATATCGTGGCATGATTCCCAACCATTCCGATGTGATAACATACTTGTCACATAGGATCTACCCCTCTTAGACCACGTGATACATGAAGTATGTTAGTTTAATTAAGACTTTTCTCTTTGTAAATTGACAGTGCGGTCTGTATGGCCTACATTAGTAATTCCAACAGTTTTATTTAGTTGTCTGTCAAGGGCGGAACTGAATACCTCAGCCACCTCCAAACTAGTGAGACATTGGCCGCTTGGACCTCCTAAGGCTCAGGCTCCTTTGTTGGTATGTATTTTCTCGGAAATGAATCGGTACAGGCCTTGGGGGTTGCCATGGGTTTCTTGGCAGTTTCACTTGAAATGACCTCCTGTTGCACATGACATTTGTGTTGTATTGGTACTTGTGTTCCAATTATGCCCCATAGCCAGGCTGACAATGAACTGTCGCTATGTAAACCAAGCTTTCCACTTTGATTTTGGGACACGCTGCATGACTCTCTTCAGCCGAGCAGATTGCTTCCTTAGTTGTAGTATGACTTGAAGGAAGGCACTTGAGGTAGCTGTGTGAATGATCCATTTATCACTCCGAAAGGTTTCTGTGATGATAGCGTAGTCCAGTCTGTGGGTTGTTCTGCGTCGCATCTTGGTATAGTCAGCTCTGACATAGAAAGGTCAGATACGCGTAGAACATCTCTGCAGGTACTCTCAAAAAACCAGATCAAACAACACGACCGCTGGTAAGAGATAACTAGGGGGTCAGCATATGTACGTTTTGCACCGCTAATAATAATCTTTTCATTTGAAGCAGTATTCTTGGTGCAAATATGGAATTTGAAACATGAAGAATAGTATTGCATCTAGCTTTCTTATTACAGAGGTAATGATTAAAACAGAACACTTATATTGCCAATAATGTTAAATAGGAATATTAAATTAGGCGAAAATATTAGCAACAATATAGTAATGGAAAAAGGGGCCATTTGCTGATTGTTTCACAGTTAGTTGGTAATTTCCTGCCTTACACTTTTCTCATTACATAAAATGCGTGCTAAATAAGGTATTGTAGAGTTTTGTACTTAGTCGCCTTAGCATATGGTTTTAGAGGCTGACAGTATTGACGTTCGAGAATTTTACGGAGGATATTAACGCAAGAAATAATAATACCAACAACTTCTATAGTATTTGTTCCTCATGTATCAAAGTCAAAGCAAAACAACAGAATTGATCGTCCTAATTACGAGATATATTTCGGGACCAAAACGTATTGCGAGATGACTGCTTAACTGACTGGTGATCGTGCACGAAAGTGACACGACGGAGTACCAAATGGCATGGATGCTTGACCGGAAACCTTCAGCTCAACAAGTCGACTTAAACAGTGAGGGTCAGCATCCAATGTTCAGTGTTGATTGCGGTGATCAATAATTTTGGGGAATTATTTACCGCTACAGCTCACTCCCCCCTAGTGGGATTGTGAGGACCTTAGACAGAACCAGCCGGAAGTAAAAAATTTCGATGGTTCCTTTATGGGTGAAAAAGAACCCTTCCGGGCAGCTTGGTGGAGTGCCTAATGCTCCGACAACCTATGCTAATAGGGTGTCTGTACATCGTTTCGGTGATGTTTGTCCGTTGGATCTCGTGCTTCGTTTGCTTTCTGCCCAGTGCCCGTCGCACCTGCAAAAGAAAACAAGAATGCTAAGAACCTTGTTGAGGAAAATGTACTAAATCAGCGCTTAAAAAATGATGTGCATCTACCATACAGTAAAATAATGCAAAGTTTAGAACATCGAAAAATATATACATCTAATTTTTCAGCGCATGTAACATGTACGGTTATATAAAAAATTTGTTTTTACTTGTGTTTGGTGATGCTACATAAAAAATTGATGTTTCTGAAAAGAAAAAAATATTTAATACCACAAACGAATGAGTTGGGTGAATCGCACCATGTAGCTATTTGATATAGGTGCGAAGATGTTCTGGGATTCTCTCGTTTCGTCCAGAACGCGTTTATTTTGACGATTTCACAGAAGGTTCGATGGCTTTCACCGTGCTAGTGATTTCTTCGAGGACTACAGGATATTCGGTTACTTGTGTATTATTAGGCATGCTCAGCTCTTGGCTAATCGGATTGCCTTCCGAGTAACCCGGTTTCAGACGGTCAATGCTGACGGTGTCTAAGACAAAGAATTTATCCATACGTTTAATTACTTTATATGTTCCATCGTATGAGGGTTCCAGATGTCGGCGTACGGAGTCACGACGAACAAATACATGTGAAGAAGTTTTCAAACATGGGTTAACAAAGATTTCAGTGGACTGTAGTCGAAGGGGAGCAGGTTTAACTGAACGCATTGCGTCTGTAAGCCTGCTGACGTATAAGGCGTGATCTACCACTGGTGGGAAGCTAGAGAAAGAAACAAACTCACCTGGCAGTCGCAGTGTTGTCCCATATACTAGCCCGGCAGCAGTACAAATAGTATCAGTTTTCAAAAGAGTTTCGTATCCTTAGGATAACTAACGGAAGTGATTCAGTCCAATGTACATTGTTTGCAGCCGATAACCCAGCCTTCAACTGTTTGTGTAGACTATCTAACATACCATTAGCTCCTATTTCCTTTCTCTTCAATTTCGCCGCTCCTGGAACCCTCTACCAGCAGATATAGCTACTGCATCTCCCGTGAAGAGCTTTTGGCGGAAGCTGGACAGTCATGTAGTTAGACGAGGACTTCATCCCAACGGCCTATCCCCTTAAAACGTAAGTACACTAATAATGAATATACATCTAAACTTGTCCCCCACTACTGCCCATTCCCACTTATCATGCTCCTTTGACCAATCTACCCGTCCGTTCTGATACTGTTACCATTTATATATAAGTATTTAATTATCAAATTTCGTCATCTGTTCGCACGGTTTTCTTCTAAATTCAACATAATCTACACTAACCATATCTGTCATAATTTCCAATTATTTGCTATTGTTGTCATTTTTCACAATCATTATTATCCCTTTTCAATCACGCTGGACGACTAACGGGTGGAAGTCTAACACCATTTACAGTAGCGACATGGTCTGTATCCCAACACTGTATCCCCCAAGCCGCATATAACAAATGTCAACACCACTTCTATTCTAGTCAACCAGAGCTACGACTGTTGGGTGGTAGGACACACTGCAAAAAGGTCTACCGAAGACTAGGAAACCTTAATTTGCAACTGAGAAGCTAGTGCAAAGATATCATTCCGGTCTATAATGGCTTATGTCCACGATAAGTTATATGCTTGAATCGAGAAACAGTATATTGAGAATGATATACTAAAGCCTTGCAATATATTGTAGGATTTCGGCAATTTTTATCTTCAGAACAACCACCTTTGTTCGACAGTTTCGCAGGCATATATCATATGTCCAGTAATATATCTGTATGATTCCATATGTTAATTACTTTTAATCCCCTTAAGTCAAATAAACCATGATTACTGCATACTTGCTGAGCACAAGGAGGCACTAATCTTTAATACAAACGGTTTCACTTCCATAAGGATTTTGGTGCCCGAATTTTGTTTTTTTCAATCAGCCTGGTAATTTTTAAGGAGTAAATGTTAAGGTCGTTGGTGGAAGTGTTACAAACACATTGTATGTTATCGTGATACAATTTAGTATATCCATGAAGAATGCGTGAAATGGATAAAGATGGTGAAGTACAGGACGTCAGATGTCTCTGGTTCGTTTGAAAAACGAATTAAATTTAATTTCAATTTAGGTCTACTCTTCTTCATGAAGTCACTGACAAAGCATCAGCTGGTCTTTCATCTTCAAAAAACCTGGTTGTTTTCGGGGATGAAAAGTGTGGAAAATCAACACTGATCTCTCGACTTCAAGGTTCAGAAGATATGAAGGAAGGATTTGGACTGGAATATCTTCTCATAGATATAAAAGATGAAGCAAGGGATGCCATCACTAACCTTAGTGTTTGTATTTTGGATGGAAATCCTGTCCAAAGTTATCTGCTAAAATATGTTATCACTGAGGACACCTTCGATGACCAAATGGCTTTGATTGTTGTCAGCATTGGAGAACCCTGGAAGATGATTGAAACTTTAGAGAAATGGGCAGATATACTCGCAAAACACATAGATAAACTTAAACTCTCAGAGGAGAAACTGAAGACTCGTAAATCGAAAAGTAAGTAGTTTGCATGTGTTTTAAAACAGTTTTTATAACGTCTTTTACTTGCCACGTTATCGTACAGTCAAATTAGCTGATACACCTATTTTATTCTTTGCACACTGATGAAAGCTAATTTTTGATTCAAAAGTTTTTCGATATATGTTTATTCCGATAGGATAATATCTACCTAATTTTTCGGTACATGTCCACCACTCAACTAGGCCGATAATTATTAAACGTTAACTTAACAGTCACTAATGTTGTAACAGTTGAGATATTTGGTTTATCAAGCGAATATTTTCAGTGATGTCTTGGTTTTCATATTTAAAAATATGTTGAAGTATACCTCACGAAAGTTTATTCAGTAGGAACTTAAAATTCTTTATAGTTCGGGAATGAATGTAGTCTATATTTATTGTCCTTATCTATCATAATTCTGATTGGTATGAATCTCACAGAATTATTTTAGCTATCGAAAAAGCATAAAAAAGATCAATTACTACTGAAAATCTCGTTATTTGCAACAGCTTACAATAAACGACAAATTCTTCTGGTATCCAGGATATATTTTATGTTCTTTCTACATTTTTATGGTGAAGATCTTACGGTCAACTTAAATAAATACAGCTTAGAAGATAGCACAACAATTCCCTCCCTTCGGCTTTAACACTGGTTGATTTACGAACATCGGGTGTATTATCAAGAACAGATTTTGATTTCATATATCAAATTTTCTTTTCAAAGAAGTAGTTTAAATCTGGTTTATATTGAATATTTCAAGAAGTGACTTAAACTTAGCATTTTTTGTTCCTGCATTTTTTGTTGGCCACATGGGATTATTTTTACCAGTCTTTACTTGCATCTTGATGGATTATGATATCTTTTAAACTTCTGTCAACAACTTAAAACCACTAAAGTAGAAGTCGGTGAAATTTACAGGGAAACAGTATCCAGTTATCTTTTGGCGTAAACTTTAGCAAATTGTTTTCACAACCATCAAGAGAAAAAAACCATTTGGTCATGTGAGGAAGAGTATGCAAACTAATTTACGGCTGACTTGATGGGTTTTAAAAACAAAGCTAGAATATCCAATCCTTAAATAGTTTTAGAGGTTTTCACCCGTAAACAAAGTCCCTACAAAACTAATACTTGAAAGTTTGTTATCTATATGCCTGGAAAATTTCAACCGATCAATTGTCACAGTCATCACACTGTTTTTTGGCAGTATTTAGTAACAGAAACCTTCCGGTGCTTCAGAAAAGTTCTTGTTAACTAGTAGGTATCAGCTCTTGCTAGTCCTGTCACCGTAAAAGTAGCTGCAATTATAGAAAATGCATCCAATAAATTATGCACCAGAAATTAATACATGTAATAAGGGCTACAAATAAGGTGATGAGTGAACATGAATACTGCCCAATTTCTTCCAAAATGGTAGTTACTTTAGGCATCTATGAAACTTCAATGCAATTGCTGCATAAAAGGAAGCAGCGATGACCAAACTGCTTACTATTCAGAAATATAAGTTGACAATAAGCAGCAAATTTTTACTGAAAAGTTGACTGCGTGCAGCATGAATTCAGTGGACTTTTATACTACGAACTTTGTTTGTTAAATAAATGCTACCTTTGTGAAGTTGTCTTCACCAGAAAATAAATGTCATGTTTTTGTCAAAAAACTTTAATTTGACGTGATTTTTGAAGAACCAGTTCTCAAACAGGAATCATTCAAAAATGTTAATTTTAACATATCAACTTATTGCTATGCATAATAAGTAGCTCTATAAGTGTAATCAGAATGGAGTTAAATATAAAAATCATCGGCGTGACGAACATAATTGGTTGTCATCACTTCAGACGCTAACTCTTCATATGCTCATGCAGGTATACACGGGCTTGAGCACAGTGCAATATACTTTTTGTTACTCCATCCGTGGCCTTGCACTGTCAATGGTTCTCTCGATCGGTGGAGTCGAATGCCACCTTCTGGGTAAGAAATATGGCAAGGGTTAGACACCAGCAAACCTGTATATCTAATATAATCGGTTGGAAGGTGAGGACATGATCCACATAACTTTGTCCATGCCTGAATTTTTCGGGTTTGGTTTTACAAAGCCTCCGAAAGATCAGAGGACCTAGAATTTTAGATAATATGTTAGTCAAGCTAATCCCCCACGATTATCACAGAAAGGTTTATTCCCTTTGTTAAGGAATGGGAAGATCAAAGTTCTACTCTCCTTGTCATCTAAAATATCAACATCCCCAGCAATGTTCGTCTAATTACCTATCTTTCTGCGCCCTTATATCGCTTGTATTTTCGTTACATTTCCTCTTTCTACTTTAATGCGTGCTTTTCCAAAGTATGGTTACTCAATCTAATACACTTTACATAACAGTTATACCTCAGTAAAATTGCCATTTAATCAGTCAAACTACCTTATTGCTTCAAATATCTTTAAACGGGAGACAGTTTTCGCAACTTCAGCTTTTACTGCCGTAAGTATGCCCACTACCCGTTCAAATCACTGCATAAAACATGTATTACAAACTCTGTGTGTGCCTTCGTAAACGCTCTTGCTATGAAAGTGTTATATTACGTTACAGGAATAACTAATAACATGTTAACACATTTAAAAAAGAGCTACCTTTATGGTGTTGAGAATGGTGACATTAACTATCTCTCTAAATCTCCATGGGAAAGATTATGTAGAACTGATGATCCAATGTTTGAAATTTGAGCATCTTATCCACTGCTTCCATTCGTGTAAATAGTTACAAAAACATTAATTTTTCAAAACCTTGGTCTAAAATTTATCAGTAAAATATTCTCTAGCTATTAATTAATAGAGAGTAACTTTACTGAATGTACAGGTATGACTAAAGAATAGGATTGTACAGAACTTGGATGAAAATAAAAAAAACGTGTTTCGTTTAAAATGGTTGCCATTTCAGAACCATCTGTAATGTTATACATTCGCAATAATATGAAAAGACTGCAGAAACAAACAACTTCATATTTAAAAAAAATTTTCAATACTCAGACAGAACAGAACAAAACGATTTTCTGTGAGACAGCGACGAACCAAATTGATGTAATTTACCACAGGTTGTTAGTGAAACAATTCAATGCCTGAAATAACTTTTAATTCTTCGAAACAATGTAACAGTATAAGTCAAACGAGATCAAACTTTTGAGTCTGGAGTAGTTATTTCATTCTCCAATACGTAACAGAAAGGTTGTTACTCTATACTGTGGAGGCATTCTCAGAAATCGTTCTTGTATGAAAGAGCTTCTTTCAATCACCGGTTGTGAAAAACTTCTCGAGTTAAAAGATAGCACTACGTTCATTATCATGTTTTCATCTTCGTCTAGGTATTTGTTTGCCTAAACCCTAAGCAATTTTTGAATTTTGGTACAAATTTCAGCTTAATGAGATTTACTTAGTTATGGTGATATGTTTTGTACATATTGATCGGATAAGGAAATATAACTTACATCATATTGTCTATTTATTAGTACTAAAGAATACCAAAACTGAAGTTACTCGTGTCATTTAAAAAGTGGTACTCAAACACTTATTCCTCAATATATAAAATCAAGTTTTCAGCTTGGTTGATAAGCTTAGAGACACACTTAAGTGGTCAGCTTTCAATTAATTGAATAGGTTGAAATAAAGCTGTAAATCTGAGTTGCATGTTTTTCGAAACAGTCAGATAAGGAGGATTCTCAATCGGAAGTGCTGCTGAACAGAATTTTACATGGGTTATCTAGTAACATACTGTGAGACATAAATCCGTTGAATTTACTTGCTTGTAACTTTTTGGCCATCTTTCTGTTTTTATTTGCATTTTTAGTTTTAAAGGAATTTTACAATTATCTGGAACCAGAAGCGCTTTCTAATCCAGCCACCAATCCTGTAAACCTAGCTTCTTTTTCGTTCTCCAGTATGTCTGAAACATCATGCGAAACGTCACCTGAATCCCCACCTGCACATACCACTAATACCTATCCAGAAGAAATTCATGAGCACAATGTAATGAATAACAATCTCGGTGTACCACTCATTGTTGTTGTGACAAAGGTAGGTATGCGTTGTAAAAACTAATATTTTCTTATAAATGTTCATCGCTATTTGCGAAATTATTTGGCCGACGAACTCATCTATTACAACTGAATGACAATTGATTTAAAAGAAGAAATCCTGGTTCTGCATAAATAACAATCAGAGACCCTAATTACTTTACATTTCGGCACGCTATAGATGCGGTACATACTACTTTACCATGAATTAAGAGTGATAAGAACAATTTCATTAAGGCGTTCAAATATCTTCTTATCCTACGTTTAGTATTTCTAAATATATATGAATTGATCGGCAGGTGGTAAAAGATATGTTCATTTCTATTTACTATGTGTAGATAAAATAAAATGAATTTCCTCAGGACTACAGATTCTCTGTAGTTAGTACCAACGTGTGTCAGACCAAGGTTCTATTATTGATGCCGACTCACTTCTCATAACCACTACTTTTAAGTATGGTAATATGAAATAGTAACTGTCTGAGGCCTCAGACCCAGAAAATTCAGCGTTAACGGGGTATAATTTGGGATTCTTAAATGTCCTATTGATATGAAGACCAACTTTTTCACCTAAACGAAATCAGCAGAGAGGACCGCTGGAAATGGAGTGACACAATGCACTTATCTCATCTTCATTAATCCACACCAAAGACCTCATCGGGGATTGAAACCATTCGGTCGCTAGGGATAAATCAAGAACCTCTTGATATTTAACTTCTGCTAATTCGCAATGCAGCACCGCCATAAGTTAGCTGTCTAGTGATTCTTCATTTTTAGTTGTTCTTTCACTTCTCTGAGACGACGTGAACCTTAAAATCAGTGAAGTAACAACAAAATGAGCAGGTTATTTAAATCCATTGCTCATAAGTAAACGATTGTGACATATATATTCTCCGGTTCTAATAAGCAGCAATAATTGGTGGAACACACTGAGCTGAACATGAGTCTAGACATTCACTGATAACATTTCATAAGTGGCGCTAGTTGGTGAGTCAGCAGAAGTTGTAGATCAGAAGCCAGTGGACTATTATCTATAGTCAAATCTATAACATACATGCGATGTAGCCTGATTTAGACAAACTAAAATTTATTCGAAATACTTACAGTTATCACTATGCAAGTATTCATTTATTTGGCGAGATATTCTAAAGCAAATATATATAAATGACGTACTTCCGACTTTACAGTCACCATTCAGTTTGTCACAATAATATTATGGCTTTTGTAACTCAAGTTCAAACCTATGACAGAAGACCAGTCAGCCAAGAATATGATACAGAAGTGTATCTTTCCGAGTCACTAAACTACCCAAAAACGGAAGCAGAGTAAGAAAGAATGAAAAGGAAAAACACTTTAGAAAGTAGAGCGGAATCACTTATTGGAAGCTAACGAAGATGTTCAGAATTCTGATACTGATGAACAGCGTGTGTGAATAATTCTCAGTAATAACATTTAGTCACCATCCACTTATCCTAAACGTCCGTGAAGTTGTACTGAGACATTCCAAACTTCAGATCAATTAAAAACGTCATAGAATGGTATCATTCCTTTACTAAATCAACTTTAGTTCTCTCCGAATTACAAAACATTTGTTAAGAGAATGGGGTTGTCGGCAACAGGAGATACTTGTCAGGGAAAATTCACCGCCTTGCTTTTCCATTTCGCTCTCTGTTAATTGGAATTCTTATCTTAATCTCTGTGTGACTGAATCCGACTTTACAACACAAACGTAACCCTATTTTCAAATGTCTCGTTTTCATCAATCATATGCCTCATCCTTTGCACAATAAGTTAGGCGTTTGATAGATATTCAAATGGCAGCAGTTGTGATAAAAATATTAAGTTACATTAACTTAGAGATCTGTAAAAAAGAACAGTTGTTTATAGATCCATTTCATATAAGCTTTCAATCAAAGAGGATGTTAAACAAACTAAAAATGATTAACTTTTATAGCAGTATGGTACATCAAATCGACATATCTTTTTATAGACTTCTATTAGCACGAAAGTTTTGTGACCAAGCACTTAGTTGTAATTGTTAATCATGGATATTTTTCACATAAGACCTTTGGCTAGGAACCATATCGTCAAACAAATTTATATCAATAAATTTGCTTCAGAGGTTTTTATTGGTAGACATATATTAAGATAATCAACAGAATTGAATTCCTTCAATCAAATCATGTGGTATATAAATTTATAAGTGAGAATAAAAAATAATTACAACAATCTCATAACGCTTATATTGGTTTATCACATGTTATTATGATATTTCATTGCTTGGGTTTAGTGCAGTGAAAGTAAAGCTCGCTCAAAATGTGTAATAACTACTTCTGTCTATGAATTTATGATATACATTTAATAAAGTGACAAGTGCTAACTTCTGTTGATGATAAGAAGTCTAGTAATTGAATTCTTTCGACAGTAATCACTGCTGTGAAATGTCGATAGTTTGACTGACCCCACCTTTGTCAGTTTAAAATGCCTCATAAAAATGCCACTATTGAAGTTTAAACACCTGGCAAAAGTGCAACAACAAAAAACAAAACATAACGAAGTAATAGCTATCATACAGGATAAAAACATAACCTAGTGTTAAGAAATCATTGGTTATGTAGCGAATCTATGCATTTTGTTTGACTGAGTATACGACAGCTACCAAAATTCATAATTACGTCATATTGTCTACATATTTTTTATAGTTGAACTGGATCTTTTTTCTTAGGCTTATCCTTATATCACGACTACTGTTAAGATTACCAGTAACACAAGTACCGTTAGCTGATACTTATCTAGTGTGAGAACATATCTACTTAACCAACCACTTGTAACGTTTATTTAGCCTGATATCAGTCAACATTCTTAGCGAAATCCACCTACACAGAAATAAAAGGGATGTGGAAAAAGCGACAAGAGATGCACTAACTGCCTAATTAAATGTCCAAAATTTCGAAGCTGTTAGACTTAAGCAATATACAACCTCAATGATAGTTTTTCATCTATTAGCGATAAGTTTATGACAAACATTTCACTACTTTATTTCTTACCACTCCTTTACTAGAGTCTTGTGTCCAATAGCAGAAAGAACACACTAAAGATATCTACTTTTTATTAAGAGGACTGGTGTGAATATATTTGTCACCCTCTCGTATGTAGTGCTTGTATGACTATCTTATTCTGTGTCGACCAGATGATACTACAGCTATAAATCAATCCCTGAGACTTGCAGAATTATTCTTTTAATTACCGCATACATAATACAATTGCATATTAGCAGTGGTATTTTTTTGTGGAAGACAGTGTCAGCGCATTGTAAACTGACATTAAGAAAAAAACTTATTAAAACGATATAACTTTACGTTATTTCTAACATAGTCCGACATTCCCTGATTTGTAAAGCCCAGTAATGTTTAAACACGAATAACTAAGCTAATTTCCAAATGGTTGGGTAACAGACTTCAACAAAATGCATCTGATCAACAAATCATAGCCGAAACGTGCCTAAATTGATGTTAATAGTTGCTTTTAGGTTGCAGCCTCTGTAAATAACATGTTTTAAAGTCTTTAGTAGTGATGATTCTTTTGTCACCACTATCGAAACTGGGATAATCAACAGTACACAAAAGCTGTATGTTTCTTTATTAGGTGATTTATGCCCTTCTGTAGAAACTTATGGAAGAGAATTACCAGGTTTAGATGATTTTTGCCTTTTCAAATTTTTAAAAAGTGGTAAAGACGTAGGCCGATATTGAAACGCTCAATCAGGATGAGAACAAACATCTCGACGGTTGATTAAGCCAGTTTAACTATTCGTCGATGTTTCATTCTTGCACTATACGTCCTTATCAGAACAGAATTCTAACTCATTAATCAATAGTTTTAGTGGGAGCCTGATTAACGGTAAGAAACAAATACCACATATTACCTGGTACAGATAACTTGTCCATTTATTCTACTTTCACTACTTATTGCTACTCTACATCAGTTTATGTTCAAAATTATTCCAGTCATCATTTTAAATGGGATCATTTCATTCAACCTAAGCATATATCTATAGATCATTTGTCTTTTATTAACATTTGACTGCAACTGACATAGTAAATGTTTAACCTTCTGAGCTCATTAGATCGAAAAAGGCTTTAAATTACACCGTAAGTCACATTACTGTTACATTGAGATGTACAAAATATATCAAAAAGTCCATCCCTCAAGTTATTATCATTCTTATTGGGTTCCAAGTTGAACATAGTATTCGCATGTACACATTAATGATTTTAAGTGGAGGTGATCTATCTATTAAGAAAAAAATTTACGACATTATTTATTCAATGAGTACTTTCAAATTCTGTTGTCAGATTACTTCTTGAAAGGAATAAAAATAATTCCCAAATGCATGTGTATGGTAAGAAAAATACTCCATCACCCACAAAGCATTCAAGAGTTTACAATTAGCTACGGTGAACAAAAATCCTCAAAACAATAAACATCAAACACTTTTCTGTACTGAAGAAATACACCTACTGTTTCGAAAATATAAGTATTACTTTTATTCCGTTGGGTTCCAAATGGAATATAGGGCTTCAGTCGCACATTTCCATTTCGTCGTGTTCTGTGAAATTTTATTCAGCTGGCCTCACAACCGCCCTTAGGCTTTCAGTGCCTTGTCACACGATCTCCATATTATCCTCAGACGCCCAACTTTTCAATTCACATTCGAGCTCCAATCAACAGCCTTGTCAGTGATTTCACTTACAGATCTCCTCAGCGTATATAAACTGCATTTCCCTTTCCTTCTACCTATCTGTTGGGCGATAAGTTCAAGATTGGTTCGTTCCCAGAGTTTCTTGTTGTTTACATATTTTTGGTCATGTGATTTTCAGTGTGGAGCGAGGAAGCTGTTGATAAAAGTCCACGGCAGGCTGTTGAGAATAATTTTGCTTACTCTGATGGCAAACGGCTTAACCATATAGAAGCGTTGACTGAGCGTAGTAAATTTCCATAGTGACTCCGGATTAATGTAAGTCTGTCCCGATTTTCTGATTCTTTCTTGCCTCTATCATCCTCATCTGTGTTCCTTGTAGTTGAAAGAATGTTGCTCTCATAAGTGAAAGAAGTGACTTCCTTCAAATTTATTCCATTGAGTCCTTTAAATTATACCATGAAATATTTGTGTTAAGTAATATTTATAATATACATCTATGCTATTTAATTCAACTTTAGATTTTCCCGTCGATTGATTGGACCGAAGTGCTCGGTCTCAGGTTGACATGTCGGCTCCTTGTGCAGATGCTTCGGCAATGTCTCTCCATGTAACTCACTGGGTAATGTAGGTACATCCAGAGTACGAGTCCCAAAGGGAACGAAATGCGCTTCCTGGATTCCACAGCTAGTCACCATACACGTACTGAATTCAAGTTACATGACCAGATATCGTAAAAACATCTGTACAAGGAGCCGATATATCAACCTGAGACCAAGCACTTCGGTCCAATCAATCGATGAGAAAATCTAAAATTCAATTACATAATTAATAATGAGACCAGTTGTACAAGAGGTGGCCCAAATGGTCTAGTTGATAGCGCTTAGGCATTTGAAACTATGGGCACTGGGTTCGAGCCTCGGTTGGAACGACATCACTCACTGGGGAATACCGGTACATACAGGTGACAAGTCACAAATAGGACGAGATGCGCACAATGGATTCCACTGCTGGTTACCAATTGTCTCCAAGTTTCAGCTGTGCATTATTTGGTTATTCAGCTGCAAAATTTAAAAATTTTCTCCTGTCAAGCGCTTACAAACTAAATACTAAATCTGTTAATTGAATGCAATTTCGCATAAAATAGAAAGTTAACTTTAGTTGTAAAAGTCACATTGCTTAATTTTTATTGATTTTTTAACATCAGTCTTATCAGCGCAACAGATTAAGATAATGGTATGAAGTTTTTTTTGTTGATCAGAAGCAAAAACATGAAACGATCAATTTTAAGGTATACTGACAATTGACGATACAATAATAGAATTGGTAGAGACAAGAGCAAGATCTGTGTGATCATATCTAATATTTATTATTGTTTTTTTCAAAATGGATGACATATTAGTCGAGTTATAAACTAAGTTGGAAATTTAGTTTCCCTGTTTTTAAACTGATTTTCAGATTTGTAGGTCTTCTTCATATGGCTTCAAACTTGCAAAAACAAACTTAACTCCATCCTCCCCAGTCATGTTAGTTTAAAGGGAGTCATATTTTTTTCCGATTGGTTAGTAGACTAGACAAACGTATAATAATTTCAACTCATCATCACTATTGGCAGTTTAGGAGTCAAATGCTCTCCAATCACCCACGTGGTTAGGTTGTCATCGAACGCATACCTAGCCGTCCTCGACAGGTATTGTTAGCTGACATAGGGTCAAGTTGGAAAAGAGCCGCTAGTAGTCACACCGAAACATGACATTAGTCAATAAAATCCACAACAGTTAGATTAAGCCATGTAGCAAGTTGTAGACTTGCTGGTTAGGGTCATCCGGACGGTAATCATCAATGGCTGCGCATTTCTTTTTACTTTCTTCTCTAGCTTTGTGTGCTGAGTGAAGTGTGACAACTCGAACTGCTGAACATCAGTGCAAAGTTCTACGTTGAAACTAGTCAGTCAGTCAGTCAGTCAGTGTCATCTGACAGATTCCGAAACCCTACCTAGTCAGTACTAAGATTCGTAAAGAGAGAAGGTCGAAATTAAAAACACCACCACTATTGAAGCTTCAAAGCTTAAGGATTGAAGCCTTATATTCCAACCGGTACTCAAAGGAGTAAAAAATTGGTTTGTTAATCTATTGAAGAACGTATTGCGACTTCAGAACACACTTAGAATTGTGTTTTATTTAAGTCGAACTTCAACTATTATTAAGTATTCTGCAGAAAAGGAACTCTTTAGTTATGCAATTAATTTTATCACTTATATGTAAGTAGCTTTTTAAAAACAGATACGCCTTATAGACAATCCTAGTAACATTTGCCAATGTAGTACATCGCAAGCGTCTGCAGAAATACTACTGTCCAAAAGCAAATATATGTGAATAAAGCAAGAAAAACAGTTTGTGCAGAATTAAATAGTACCATCATTGCATATTTCGTTGGCTTTTCATCAGCTGCTTACAGCGTAAAAACATCATTAAGTTAATATAAAGAAACAATTTTAACGTAAACATAGAGTTCATTTTTCAACTGAAAAAACAACAATGTATGTATGCGATGGTAACAATAATAATAATAATAGTCACCTTATCCCAAACAATAATAATAACCTCTATTGAAACACAACACAACCCTCAAATTCTCCTCTTTTTTCATACTTATTGTGTTGGCTGTTTTTGATGTGTAAGCAAATTTGTTTACTGTTAGATAAGAGAGTTGGTTTTAATAGCAATAATAAAAATAATAATAATTTTTTAACTTATAAATTCACAGGCAGAAAAACATTTGTTTTTTTCTGATATCACTTATGACAGACAGATTTAATGAAAACTATGGTCAACGAGAAAGAATATACAGAAGAACATTTTGATTTTATACAAATGCATATACGCAGATTTTGTCTTACGTGTAAGTTGTTTTTGTCTTCTTTCGTTTTTTTTTCGTTTATTTTACTTTTAGTTCTACTATTGACTTGGTATCTCAATCAATGATATTTTTTTGCAATGCCACTAGAAGTTATGAATAGGAACTTTTGAAAAGCTTAAATACTATAAAACTGATCTCTAAAACTTTACAGATATAAATAAGGAACTAAGTGAAAAGAAAATACATTTCTTCACTCAATCTGTTGCCTTTTACTGAATATAAATATAATCTTTGCAGTTAGATTAGTAAAGCCAAGTTGTTTAAATGGCTGCAAGAAGGAAATATTATCTATACCAGTTACTTGATCATCAAATAAAATTCACCATTAGAGGAATTATTTATTGTTGCACTATCTTATCTAGCGCAAAATCAACAGTAGTGTGTATCTCGTTTAGTTTAACAATGAGCTTCATCTGATGCGTTAAGGGGTGAATGACACTAACTGCGAAACAATGACTGGAGAGTAGACGCCTAAAATAAGTCACCTACAGTCTGATGTATTAATTTGGATTGATTAGATAGACAGCATTATCGTCGGATATGAAGCATATGATGTCATCTTATGTAACATGTCGATGCAATAGTTTTTCATACCTAAAGGCTGTACCTACCATATTCCTCAGTATTTTAAGCAATGAATGTTTCGTAACATGCATGATAATAATATGCTATTTAGTCCTGATTTATAGCCTGCACAAAAGTTTTTTAAAATTTTTCTGCCAACTGGTATTGAAAACGTGATCATGTAAGTTTCTTTTCCAAATTCTTTGTAGATGGAGCTGCGTTATTTTATGTATCAGTGAGAGAGGACCTAAACTGTGACCTACTAAAAAGTTATATTCAGCATCGTCTTTACGGACTTCCTTTCAACCATAGTCCATATGTAGTTGAAGGTAACTGTATTTTCGTGTAAGTTACTGAATAAATCGATCAAAATGCTCATTACAACTTTCAAAAGACTGATTACTGAATAAAGAATATTCTTTTCGATAACTTCATCAAATCATTCAGTTGTATATCCATAATAATGAAAGCCTTATAGTTATTAACAAAATTAACGTTTAAATAACATCAAATTAATAAAAAAGGAATTTAATAAGGACCCTCAGCTACAGAGTCAGAGCTATATCCTTAGAAGACATAAGTGAAGATGAACTTAGGATTGTGTATGACACCTTAATTGAAGTCAGCTATCCAGAAAAGTTTATTAGGAAACACATAACCAATAAAGTAGAAAACGACTAATCCGTATCTGTAAATAAGAAGCCCCTATATAAACGACTGCAATTCAAGGGTGGCGTGGTAAATGAAGTAATCACTAAGAAGTTAAGAAAATACATTCAAAGAACTTTTAATACCAGTAAACTACAAGTCCAATTTTCTACACGACCGGTTGTAATTCCTCAATTGAAAGACGAAGTACCTGAACTAGCGACGTTTAACTGTATCTATCAATTCAACTGTGCTCGTGGAGAGAGTTATATTAGCCGTTGCCCTAGGAACTTGACTTTTCATGCTCGGGAACACATACCAGTGTGGATAAACAAAAGCGTGGTAAAAACATCTACAGCTCGGTAGCTAGATAGATAGACTACCTGATCCAAACTGGCCACAAATCTAGCACTGAAGAATCATTCTATATCATCGATCGAGTACTAAACAAACTGCCAAGCATCCACGTACCAATTACTCAAAACAGCAGAGACTACTAAGATTCACGTGAAGAAACCAGTGCTCGGTGTGCAGAAATAACACGTTCAAACACTACTACTGCACTGACCTTCTGTGTAGCCTATAAATTCATGAATTTCGTATTATTATTTTTCTTATTTGTTTGATATTCAGTGTAGAGTTATGTTAATGCATATTATCATGCTTACAGATGCCACTGAACTGTAATCTATCGATATTGCTGATTCGAGGTTATTTAGACATTAACGTTGTTAATAAGTCCAATTCTTTCATTATTGTGGATATATGACTGTAGAACCTGATGAAGTTATCGAAAAGAATATTCTTTGTTCAGTAATGAATAAATATCAAGGAAATGTAACTTTATCGACAAATATAGATGCCAATTTTATATCTAATTGTATTCAGTGATAACCTGACAGGGTTAATTATGATTTTACAACAGTTAGCTTAGTAATCGCATGACATTCTTTTGTAGACAAATATCCATGGAAATAGAGCACAAGGGAGAATTCATAAATGTCTTTGTCTGATGTATCTGCATTCATCACTATACTGGCTTAAAATATCATCAGATTTTCGTTTTTAATCAAATAATTGTTGAAAAACAGCATTTTATTCTGTTTGTGAGCTATACTTCTAGAAGCTTCAACGAATATGAAACAGAACAGTTTCAGAATTTCACTCAGTATGGCATGAGACTTTTCATTATAAAGGAAACTTTTAAGCGTCAAATAGTGCATCGAGAAAATAGAATAGTTATGGAGAGAGTGTGTTTTGACACCTTCTCTGATATAATATGTTATTAAAAGCAGGTGCATGTCACTTAGCGGCTGTCGAACTCTCTAAGTAAAGGTAATGGGAAGACCTGTAACATTAATGATAAAGTATCAATATCAAAAAATACAGTTACGTTCCATGAATACATCCAACTTACTAAAACAGCTTTCTGTTTGTTTCCCGATATGAACAGATAACGTGAAAATATTCACTATGGTAAATTATTGAGTGACATCTTTAGAAGAGGTGGTAGTCAGTCCTTAGAATAATAGTAGTTGTTTACCTGACAGCTCTTCCTTTAGTCTTTTTTATGGATATTCATGGATAACTAAAGCTAAAAGTAGCCAAGTATATTCAACTTAAAGAGATGCATAAAAGTAACTTGCATTATAGAACCGTTTTCAGAGAAACCTACAAGAATTATTCTTAATCCTTGAGGTCTTTAGACATAACTTAATGAAGTGCATGTGGGCATACATCAAATTTATCAATCATTGGAACATAGGACATACGACAAAAAGGTTAAGTATCAGGCCCAAAAAAGTTAGTATTAATGCAGAAGCATACAGTCATAAGGGAGTAACCAGTCACATCATGGGTCACCAGGAGAGACAAATGTTTTATCAGCGAAGAATTCTCAAAGCTCACTTCGCATTCAAATTAGTGTTGTAGATATTATTGTCCTGAAGGAAATTAAAGCTTAGCAATTAAAATATCCAACTCAGCTCAGAGAACAGAAAAACATCGTAAAAGAAAAGAATGTTTTCTTTAACCACCAGGTTTTCAAATAAAATACTAAAAAATACAAGAAACAATGTGAAATGGAAATACAAAAAACTAAATTAAGTCGAAAGTGTTAAACAAAAAGAACAGAGATTAGCTAACTAAGCCAGGAAATACGAAAAGCTCTGATGAAACTCTTTAAAGAAAGAAATGTGATTATAAGTTAAATCAGTAATTTGATTAACCATCAGAACTAAAAATATCAACAAAGACTAAATAGTAAGCCTGAAACACGTGACCAAAATGCTCATCCACTCTTAGAAAATACACTTTCATAAATCAAGAATTTTCATGTAATCAAGGTATTACATTCCAAACTGTTAATAAATATGTTCTCCTGCTACCTAAAATTCATCAAATATAATCTCCTACATAAATTAATGAAAGCTAAACATGCCTCAGTGCTACCAAGGCAACAATCACATTACCAAAAACAACTACTGGTACTACAGAAAATAAAAGGTTATTCTAATCACATGCAACAAAACAAGTTAGCCCACTTCTCTTTCGCCTGTTTAAGCCTGTGAATGTGACGAAATGGATGAATTTTTGTTTATTTATTTATTTTAAGTCCGGCAGGCTGGGATAATCATAAAAAAATAAATATCTTGGGTGAAAACTTAACTACGATCAATCCAGAAAGCCCCTATTCTGCAGTTGTACCAAGACCAATACCACGTAAAACAAATAACAGAGAACCAGAGATAGTCCCTGTAGATGAACAGGTATGTGATACTATATCATAACGTCTAGTGTTATTTTGATGATAACTTGGTTGTTGCCATCATTCATGAATATATATATATACATATATATATATATATGACTATTCAAAAATCCCTAGCAGAGTATGCCACTTAACATTTCATTTATTCTCCCTATTTCAATTTTATAAAGATCATTAAACAATAATAAGAAAAGAAGTAGTGACTGAACTACCCCGTCCCTTAGCCCATTTGACGTAATCATTTTAGATTATAAAATTGACAACATAAAAAATCATTTTTAAACTACCCTGACTGAGTTATATTGTCAGTAGCTAATCTAAATACTTGGTAAATTCCATTTTTGTACACAGCATTCGACAGAATACGCATCCCATTACTCCTGAATGCGTTAATTTATCAGTGAATTTCTATGCAGAATACCATTAGCCTGCAGTTGAGCAATTGGTTGACGAAGTCGTTAACTTCTCACATCACTACAATTTATTGCTAACAAATGATAGCATTACTTAAGTATTAAAACTAAGAAGACACGATCAGCAGGCACTTTAGAAGAACTAGAACTAATCAAACGGATAATTAATTTAATATAAGAATATGCTCAAATTAATTCGTTTTGTTTTATTAATGAATCTTGAATAAAAGAAAGCAAAGACTACTGACGAAATAACATTATTCCAACAGATAGAAATTAAGCTTGACTGTGATACAACATAACCATCTATGAATTGAATGTCCTAGGAACGGATTATTTGGAAAACATAATGTTTGCTGTAAATTTTAATACAATTTCAAGTAAGTACTGATTAATAACTCTAACTATAAAATGTAAATCTACTGAGCGCTTAATAGGTAATGAGCACTAGCACCATTTAAGTCATCTAATATGTTTAAATGCAGTTAATTTTCAAGTCTTTCTTTTGTTTTAAGGACTTGTTAGTATTTAATTCTATTGCTGTCTGGAAACATGAGTCTGTATATTGGTGTCTGACTTTAGAAGTGTAATGTTACATTCTCAAAAATAACCGATGCTTTCATAGTTCACTTCAGGATCAAGGTTACATCTCACTGTCAGATGATTATTGGTCTACTTGGACAATTGGAGTGAATAATAAATGAAAGAAATATACCAAGAGAATTAAACCAGTTGATTGCATTTCATTACATATTCGTTAGAGATAATGTGTGGATATTTAAACAAGTGAAAAGAAGAATAAGAACTGAACACAAGCATCACTTTTGCTCGAGTTATTATCAAAACTTGCTATTTTGTCTAGACTCTAATGACAAATAGATTAGTAATAATTATTTAACTGCTGATATATTCAAAAATTTAGGGATGAAAGCGTTTATTTCAAAGATATCATCAAAATAACTTTTGGTAAAAGAAATGAATAAGAGAAACGCCCGCTTAAAATTAACTGAATATGTGATTCCAGAGTTTATTTTTGTCGGTGATGACCAGCAGTCGAATCCAGGATACGGATTTCTTTGTCGTAAGCTGGAAATACCCGCATTCTCAGTGACTGGTGATGTTCTCACTAAGAGTCGGACCATACAACCGTTGTTTCAAATGCCAAAGCACAATCATCTAGACCACGGAGATAACTTTTTGTGACAGGCACTAGTCACTATTCCTCCAACATAATTAATCAGCAGGAAATGCAAGAAGTAAAATAATACCAAGTGATTCCAGAAAATAGAAAACAACCATTTTTTTATTCAACATAATAGGAAAAATAGTTAGTTTGTTAAAATGCTTAGAAAATGTACTTACGATTCACAGGAGATGGTTATGTGCATCAAAAACGATCACTTAGAAGCACTGAAAGAAAACTCTGTCAACATAAGTTAAACTGTCAGCATGATTAACAGATTTTCCTGTAAGCTAAGGGTGTTGGTTTGTTCAGATTTTCAGTTTCTAGCAGTGTTTCATTACTGGAAGCTTTCAATTTATTCTACTTAATTTAATTTAGAAATGTTTTCTAAAATGTTAGCGGACTTTGTTATATTTCTCATAATGAAGATTTACAAGGTGGGCTCACTGGGAATATTATGAGATACTTTGTTCCTTTGTTTGAAAGTATCTCACACTTTGAATCACTGAAATTCTCAGATGAAGCAAACAGTTTTCTTTTCAAAATTTCTGCAAGGTGAGAATGAACTCCGAGTACACTGAAAAAAATACAAGAACTGTAAAATATTAAACACTTCTCAGCATAATATTCTTAATTTTGAATGCTGAAACATATTTCAAGTTTGCCGTACTCAAGACAACATTTTAGCAATTTTATGAGCACTTATTCATAGAATGTAATATTTAGAACATCTTAAGTTGATATATCTTGCTTTCTTAGAAACTTATAAATATAATGCACGATAAAAAATTAATTGTACTGCAAAAAAATATTATGAATGATGTTCATTAGGCTCATGTGAGAAGAGCACTTATTTGTACACGGAATAAATCATATGATTGAAATTTGTCCTTAAACTTGAGTCTGCACTTGAGGATTCTGTGTGAATTTTCCTGTATAATTAGGTCAATTGTTCAGATTTTATTATATGAATCTTCTGCTTCTATGTCAACAAAGAAGTTTATTGTCTTAAAATAAGACTATACATCATTTATATTGTTATCCGGAGAACTAATAATTTTAAGCACAAATTATTTTGAAAAGTTTTTATTATCAAAAACTCAGTTACCTAGGTCGCATTCATTTATGCATCAGACTATGGGTAACACTTAGTATATGAGGACTGATGAAATTATCCAACTGGTGAGGTTGAAGCAGGTGAAGCGGGATTTGAACCCATTAACTGTCAAACAAATGATTAAGCGAATAAGCTCCATTTCCGTAGATGCAATTAAGAACTGCTTCAATACTCAATAAATTGTATTAGGTGAAAATATTGTTAAAGAAAGAGTGAAGCGAAGGAAATTTTATAATTACTGAAAGGGTAGAATTTAAAGGATTGCAGAACCATTTTGGTAGAGGCAATAAGGTATGTTCAGATCCACTGAATTGCATAGAATATTTCCTCTGATTCACTCCCCAAAACCATTTACAATATAATATATTTTTTGTGCTCCAAGAAAAATATGTTGAATGATATCGACGTCTTCATTTTCTTTGACTGTGCTAGAGGTGACGGTGTTTTTTGTTAAAATGGTGATTATCGCTCAAGGTTTTCAACAAGAAGGAATAATCAATCTAAATTTTTGTAATGTTCGGTTGTAGTAAAATACATTACTTCTCAGAAGTGGTTTCTACAGACAAAAACAATCACATAATAGTCAACAACACAATGGAAGTAATGGTTTGAAATTCGATAGAATAACAATTTTCACCTTGTCAAACTTCAAACCCTTACCTTCACTGTGTCGGTGACTATTATGTGTTTTTTTTTAAAGCAAGAACTACAGTTTTTGCAGAATAAAGTGGTACCATCTTTTATCTCGTTGCCTTCTCGTCAGCTGCTTACAGGCCAAAGACATTATTAAATGTATCTACAAAAAAAATTTTAATATACTTGCACAGAGTTCATTTTAAACAAAAATCAACCGATCAATATACGGATACAGTAATAATATATATATAATATTAAACACTATTCCAAACAATAATAATCATACACAATGAAAACTTTTCAGCATCTCGCATTCGGTTGAAAAATATCTAGTTACCAGGGCAAAGAAAGACTGATAACCGCTTCTTTCTGGACGCATAAATCAGGTTTCATTGGCTTGATGGAAATGGTTTCAGCAAACTTGAAGAGAATTGAGCTCTTTTGCTTACTGATAATTTTGAACGACTTTTCGACGTCCACCTCATGACCTGTGTCAAGGAGATGCCTGGCGATGGCACTGTTTAAAGCATTTGTTCCCTTTAGACATAATCTTTTTGGTACATGTTCCGAAAATCATAGATATGCCCTTCTTTCTGTCCTTCCAATGTCTTTAGAAACCCCTCCTGAGTAATTTTAAAAATTATGTCACCCCCATATTACTCATTAATACACTACTATATGCTTCTGGTGTAAATAAACACGACTGTACAGTCTTTGAGGATGATTTCGTTGAAAAAGAAAATTTTCTTTACTGTATTGTATTGTCTTCATAAATTAACCAAATAACTCTTAAAGGCTAAGCCTTACATTTACTTGCTGCAGCAGAATGGAAACATAAACAGAGTCGTATAAGAGGGTTTGTGAGTTTACTTCAAATCATAATCTCTGGTGAACGGCGTTAAAAGTTTTGGAATACTTAAATATAAATTCACGTAATTACCTTAAACCTGACTTCCGTGAATTCAAGGTCAACTCCAGGAAGAAGACATCCTATGTAGAGCAAATAATAAAAATTTCCTGACTTTTATTTTTTCTTACGAGTATTTGGCTTATTCTTCGATTTGATCTAAGCCAAACTGGAAATAACTATTTAGCGCTGAAGCATAGTAATATCCAAAGGAGTGGAAGGGAGTCCTGATACCTCACCGAAAACTGCATTACCTATAATAAAATAGCAATTTATAAGTCTTGAAATGAAGTGTTAGGTAGGTTGGCAGTCTGCTGACGTGATGCCATATTATGCGTAGTGTTAAAACTATACGCGAGAATTAGTGAAACATTCGAGTGAATTACATTTCGCTTCCATAAATATTTCTGTTTGGTTTAACCTTGCTATTCGTATACATCCATTTAGGCCTTTCTTCTTCGACTGTCAATGATTAAAGATCAAGAGAACATAGAACCTGGTATGTTAAAAGATCTATTAGGACCTAGTGGACCAGATTCTGTTCTACGACAACCAGGGAATACTTCAAAAAATGTACCAGTTATAAAACCTGCTGACGATGGTAACCGGTTAACAAACAGTCCAACTAACATGTTTCGCCCTAAAGTAAGGTGTACACAACATTTTGATATGCTTTTGATTTCAAGTTTCACAATTCCATTTGATGACATTTTAATTTTCTAAGCATTCTGAATACTAAATGGTTTCTATGAAATGTAATCTAAGACACTGAACTATTAAAATTCATTGAGCATTAAATATTAAATCACATTAAAAATTCTTTTGATAAGTAGTTAGCAATTTAAAATATGTGAAATTTATTTAGTACGTGTAATATAAGCAAAATCATTTGTAATGCCTTTTCACAGACTACAGGTAATTTATGCAACTTCAAGGGAGATGAGTGGATGGTGTACAAACAGCAGTGCATCAGTATGCAAACTTCATAAATTTCGGTTTATGTTGACATAAATTCACATTAACCGTTAAGACATATCAATTAAATGTGTTACATATGACAAACAAGTGTTGCGGAATAACAACAATAATACCATGGAAACTAATTGTATTAGTAATCCATTTAAGATAGTTTTCCAGTTTCAGTTGATATAAACAACTTTCAACTGTGTTTATTTCAGTGAAATAGTAACTAGTATGATGTTCACATCATTGTGATTTGATAAAGCACTCAAAGTGGTTTGTAAATTCCGACGCCATTCAGCAATTTGTGCTCAATAGAGCTTTTGTGTAGTAAAACCAACATCATCTAACCGTTTTTGTTTACTTTGTAAAGGTTCCTCAGGGAAATTCATCACTTAACCTACCAAATAGTGGTACTTCGGACGGTGTGCTTGCTGATTTTTTCTCAAAGTTACTTAAAAAAAGACCAACTGCAGGTGGTACTGTTGGAGATGCACCTACTTCTTCAACTAGTGAACTTCAGTTATCTAAAGTTGAAGAAGGTAAGTTATGGTGTCATTTTTAATTTATTTATTGAAACTGGATTGTTTTCTGCATTCGTTATCTAAACCTCCTCATTGCTGACTGCTGGTGACTACCAGCAGAATTCACAAATTAGGTCTCACTCTAATGTAACGGGCGACAAATTTTATTTCCGGAAGCTATTTTGAGTCTCCCACCATCAACAAAGTAACACTGTAGCCTTCTCAAATCATCATCTGACTGAGAACATAGGATTGATAAGAACCAAAATAACTTCAGCAAACAGATTGTGTAGTTTATTTACTGACTGCATCCATTAACTGCATTTTTCCGCTTGCTTTGTTTTATATCACATGCATTAATATCTGCCTGCTAGTAACTGAATTCACCAAAGATTTTCATTTGAACTTGTATAATGAATTAATAAACTTGGTTAACAGGCACTTAATGTCTGCGAATCTGATTTCACTGAGAAAAGCTATTACAGTAGATGGAATAAGGGAACTTAAGGAATATGATAGAGTCAAGTGATGTTTATCTGAAAAAATTACCCACAAGTCAGGCTGTATATTATTTTCACAATAGCATCGTCGGTGGCACAGTGGTTAGGACTCTCGCCGACCATGCACATGGTCCAGGGTTCGATCTACTGCCGGCGCACACCCGATATCTATGGTCGGCCTGCAAAATTGGGCTACCGATATCACATGCTGAAAATTCCATACTTGTACCAAAAACACGGTGTGGAATCAAGCTATAATAAATAAATAAAGAAAAAATATAAATGATATTAATCTGATCGACGAGTTGTTCATAAAGAAATAAATACATTTAATTAATGAAACTGAAATGAAATTAAGAACTACCTAGTAGGTGACTTAAATTAGTTGAGCGTATCTGAAGATTACTAAGGTAAAAAATTACATGACGTCTGAAGTCGAAGAAAGGTTAAACAGGGTACATCAATGTTGCATACTGCAGACTAATGATTATTTATCCCATACTACTGAAAGACTAAGACTAGAGATCAGGAATAAAGTGTTACTTCCTTGTAGGAATGAGCCTTAGGTGTATATAATTTGAGCCTCTTAGTGAGGAAACCCCTGACTTTAGTATTTCGGTAAGGCAGAAGGAATCTAATTCATAAAACGGATACCGATTACCTTTATCACAAAATTTATTCAGACACAAAGTCACTATAAAACTACTGAAAAGCGATACACACAGAAGCTATAAGTACAGCAACAGAAGAGAAATTGTATGAATGACAGAAACGTCCTGCTATTCAACGAGTGATTCAGGCGTGTTTTGAAAGATGGAGGAGGAATGATAGTAACATATGATTTTACTTTATTGATAAAATACAGATACCTGAATGACTCACACATATATAACCAAAGCACTATTCGAAGATTTAAGAGTAAGGGCATTTCGATTGGCTGAAATAATTTACAACAGTTGGACTAGCGTCACGTCTCTTTAAAAAATACAAGGAAAATTGCTTTCAGGTAAGTGCATTAGGAGCCTAGAATAGTAGAAATACCTGGAGATCTCCGTTAATTTTGATGGATTGATCTTAATTAGTCAAGAGAAGTTCACCTCAAGAATGAAAGTGATTGGTTCTGAAGGTCAGTTCAACTTGCTTACTATGTGTCCTACTCAAAGATTTTCGTTTCGTTGAATATTACTAAGTGACAGATCACATAACTGGTACCAACCAATAGCCAATGCTGGACAAAACGACCAGAAACGGCATCCAAATTTTGCCATATATAGTTGCTGTATCCCCGAATAAATGTGGAAAGTAAGCCAATTTGCATGCCAATTACCCTTAAAAAAAACCAGTTTACTAGGACAATCACTATAAAAAATGAAGGCAGGTGTTCGAAATGAGTCATTGTAAAAACCAGTGTCACAATAAGCATGGTTTCCTTTTCTAAAGGCAAACATTAAAATATGGATTCAACATTAGTAAAAAATACTAAGAATTCCGTAGAAATAAAAGTTAAATTCCACAAACAACACTGAAAAACAATCTAGATATTAATTAGCAACTACCAAAAAGCAAATAAAACAAGATATGCACAAATTTACACTACACAAGCACAAAATATAAAACTCATAGGAAAATGTTAGACATACTACAAAATAAAAAAAAACTAATCAAAGATTATAATTTTTCTGTTACAGCAAAAGTGCTAAAAGAAACAGGAGAAACAGTAGACAAAATAAATAATAATACTCCAAATATCAAGGGGGAGGACTACACAATAACACAGACACAGGAAAATCAAAATGGAGAATATCATAAAGCTGACGAAAAAATCAATTTACGCCAAAATGAAAATAAACAGCAGAGAGAAAACGAAAAAAACAAGGGAGAAGCGAACAACAGAGAAGAAAAGGAAGAAAAAGAATACGGAAATATCATCGAAGAAAAAATATATGAAATTCAAAACGAAAACGCACCAGTCGTTGCCTCCTCCGTGAAATCATCTCTCGGGAGCACACCAGATATCAATGGGGAATCGATGGCCACTGACGAGATATCTAGTCTCATCTCCGAGAAAGCAGAGAATTCGCCCGAACACTCCGATTCCATAGCTGACATCAAAATCGACGAAATCTCTAACAACAACACGACCGACAGTGGTCTCAAGTCTCAGATGGACGACATCCAGCTAACACGGAGTGCTGACGCACCAATCGTTGCCTCCTCCGTGAAATCATCTCTCGGGAGCACACCAGATATCAATGTGGAATCGATGGCCACTGACGAGATATCTAGTCTCATCTCCGAGAAAGCAGAGAATTCGCCCGAACACTCCGATTCCATAGCTGACATCAAAATCGACGACATCTCTAACAACAACACGACCGACAGTGGTCTCAAGTCTCAGATGGACGACATCCAGCTAACACGGAGTGCTGACGCACCAATCGTTGCCTCCTCCGTGAAATCATCTCTCGGGAGCACACCAGATATCAATGTGGAATCGATGGCCACTGACGAGATATCCAGTCTCATCTCCGAGAAAGCAGAGAATTCGCCCGAACACTCCGATTCCATAGCTGACATCAAAATCGACGACATCTCTAACAACAACACGACCGACAGTGGTCTCAAGTCTCAGATGGACGACATCCAGCTAACACGGAGTGCTGACGCACCAATCGTTGCCTCCTCCGTGAAATCATCTCTCGGGAGCACACCAGATATCAATGTGGAATCGATGGCCACTGACGAGATATCTAGTCTCATCTCCGAGAAAGCAGAGAATTCGCCCGAACACTCCGATTCCATAGCTGACATCAAAATCGACGACATCTCTAACAACAACACGACCGACAGTGGTCTCAAGTCTCAGATGGACGACATCCAGCTAACACGGAGTGCTGACGCACCAATCGTTGCCTCCTCCGTGAAATCATCTCTCGGGAGCACACCAGATATCAATGTGGAATCGATGGCCACTGACGAGATATCTAGTCTCATCTCCGAGAAAGCAGAGAATTCGCCCGAACACTCCGATTCCATAGCTGACATCAAAATCGACGACATCTCTAACAACAACACGACCGACAGTGGTCTCAAGTCTCAGATGGACGACATCCAGCTAACACGGAGTGCTGACGCACCAATCGTTGCCTCCTCCGTGAAATCATCTCTCGGGAGCACACCAGATATCAATGTGGAATCGATGGCCACTGACGAGATATCTAGTCTCATCTCCGAGAAAGCAGAGAATTCGCCCGAACACTCCGATTCCATAGCTGACATCAAAATCGACGACATCTCTAACAACAACACGACCGACAGTGGTCTCAAGTCTCAGATGGACGACATCCAGCTAACACGGAGTGCTGACGCACCAATCGTTGCCTCCTCCGTGAAATCATCTCTCGGGAGCACACCAGATATCAATGTGGAATCGATGGCCACTGACGAGATATCTAGTCTCATCTCCGAGAAAGCAGAGAATTCGCCCGAACACTCCGATTCCATAGCTGACATCAAAATCGACGACATCTCTAACAACAACACGACCGACAGTGGTCTCAAGTCTCAGATGGACGACATCCAGCTAACACGGAGTGCTGACGCACCAATCGTTGCCTCCTCCGTGAAATCATCTCTCGGGAGCACACCAGATATCAATGTGGAATCGATGGCCACTGACGAGATATCTAGTCTCATCTCCGAGAAAGCAGAGAATTCGCCCGAACACTCCGATTCCATAGCTGACATCAAAATCGACGACATCTCTAACAACAACACGACCGACAGTGGTCTCAAGTCTCAGATGGACGACATCCAGCTAACACGGAGTGCTGACGCACCAATCGTTGCCTCCTCCGTGAAATCATCTCTCGGGAGCACACCAGATATCAATGTGGAATCGATGGCCACTGACGAGATATCTAGTCTCATCTCCGAGAAAGCAGAGAATTCGCCCGAACACTCCGATTCCATAGCTGACATCAAAATCGACGACATCTCTAACAACAACACGACCGACAGTGGTCTCAAGTCTCAGATGGACGACATCCAGCTAACACGGAGTGCTGACGCACCAATCGTTGCCTCCTCCGTGAAATCATCTCTCGGGAGCACACCAGATATCAATGTGGAATCGATGGCCACTGACGAGATATCCAGTCTCATCTCCGAGAAAGCAGAGAATTCGCCCGAACACTCCGATTCCATAGCTGACATCAAAATCGACGACATCTCTAACAACAACACGACCGACAGTGGTCTCAAGTCTCAGATGGACGACATCCAGCTAACACGGAGTGCTGACGCACCAATCGTTGCCTCCTCCGTGAAATCATCTCTCGGGAGCACACCAGATATCAATGTGGAATCGATGGCCACTGACGAGATATCTAGTCTCATCTCCGAGAAAGCAGAGAATTCGCCCGAACACTCCGATTCCATAGCTGACATCAAAATCGACGACATCTCTAACAACAACACGACCGACAGTGGTCTCAAGTCTCAGATGGACGACATCCAGCTAACACGGAGTGCTGACGCACCAATCGTTGCCTCCTCCGTGAAATCATCTCTCGGGAGCACACCAGATATCAATGTGGAATCGATGGCCACTGACGAGATATCTAGTCTCATCTCCGAGAAAGCAGAGAATTCGCCCGAACACTCCGATTCCATAGCTGACATCAAAATCGACGACATCTCTAACAACAACACGACCGACAGTGGTCTCAAGTCTCAGATGGACGACATCCAGCTAACACGGAGTGCTGACGCACCAATCGTTGCCTCCTCCGTGAAATCATCTCTCGGGAGCACACCAGATATCAATGTGGAATCGATGGCCACTGACGAGATATCTAGTCTCATCTCCGAGAAAGCAGAGAATTCGCCCGAACACTCCGATTCCATAGCTGACATCAAAATCGACGACATCTCTAACAACAACACGACCGACAGTGGTCTCAAGTCTCAGATGGACGACATCCAGCTAACACGGAGTGCTGACGCACCAATCGTTGCCTCCTCCGTGAAATCATCTCTCGGGAGCACACCAGATATCAATGTGGAATCGATGGCCACTGACGAGATATCTAGTCTCATCTCCGAGAAAGCAGAGAATTCGCCCGAACACTCCGATTCCATAGCTGACATCAAAATCGACGACATCTCTAACAACAACACGACCGACAGTGGTCTCAAGTCTCAGATGGACGACATCCAGCTAACACGGAGTGCTGACGCACCAATCGTTGCCTCCTCCGTGAAATCATCTCTCGGGAGCACACCAGATATCAATGTGGAATCGATGGCCACTGACGAGATATCTAGTCTCATCTCCGAGAAAGCAGAGAATTCGCCCGAACACTCCGATTCCATAGCTGACATCAAAATCGACGACATCTCTAACAACAACACGACCGACAGTGGTCTCAAGTCTCAGATGGACGACATCCAGCTAACACGGAGTGCTGACGCACCAATCGTTGCCTCCTCCGTGAAATCATCTCTCGGGAGCACACCAGATATCAATGTGGAATCGATGGCCACTGACGAGATATCTAGTCTCATCTCCGAGAAAGCAGAGAATTCGCCCGAACACTCCGATTCCATAGCTGACATCAAAATCGACGACATCTCTAACAACAACACGACCGACAGTGGTCTCAAGTCTCAGATGGACGACATCCAGCTAACACGGAGTGCTGACGCACCAATCGTTGCCTCCTCCGTGAAATCATCTCTCGGGAGCACACCAGATATCAATGTGGAATCGATGGCCACTGACGAGATATCTAGTCTCATCTCCGAGAAAGCAGAGAATTCGCCCGAACACTCCGATTCCATAGCTGACATCAAAATCGACGACATCTCTAACAACAACACGACCGACAGTGGTCTCAAGTCTCAGATGGACGACATCCAGCTAACACGGAGTGCTGACGCACCAATCGTTGCCTCCTCCGTGAAATCATCTCTCGGGAGCACACCAGATATCAATGTGGAATCGATGGCCACTGACGAGATATCTAGTCTCATCTCCGAGAAAGCAGAGAATTCGCCCGAACACTCCGATTCCATAGCTGACATCAAAATCGACGACATCTCTAACAACAACACGACCGACAGTGGTCTCAAGTCTCAGATGGACGACATCCAGCTAACACGGAGTGCTGACGCACCAATCGTTGCCTCCTCCGTGAAATCATCTCTCGGGAGCACACCAGATATCAATGTGGAATCGATGGCCACTGACGAGATATCTAGTCTCATCTCCGAGAAAGCAGAGAATTCGCCCGAACACTCCGATTCCATAGCTGACATCAAAATCGACGACATCTCTAACAACAACACGACCGACAGTGGTCTCAAGTCTCAGATGGACGACATCCAGCTAACACGGAGTGCTGACGCACCAATCGTTGCCTCCTCCGTGAAATCATCTCTCGGGAGCACACCAGATATCAATGTGGAATCGATGGCCACTGACGAGATATCTAGTCTCATCTCCGAGAAAGCAGAGAATTCGCCCGAACACTCCGATTCCATAGCTGACATCAAAATCGACGACATCTCTAACAACAACACGACCGACAGTGGTCTCAAGTCTCAGATGGACGACATCCAGCTAACACGGAGTGCTGACGCACCAATCGTTGCCTCCTCCGTGAAATCATCTCTCGGGAGCACACCAGATATCAATGTGGAATCGATGGCCACTGACGAGATATCCAGTCTCATCTCCGAGAAAGCAGAGAATTCGCCCGAACACTCCGATTCCATAGCTGACATCAAAATCGACGACATCTCTAACAACAACACGACCGACAGTGGTCTCAAGTCTCAGATGGACGACATCCAGCTAACACGGAGTGCTGACGCACCAATCGTTGCCTCCTCCGTGAAATCATCTCTCGGGAGCACACCAGATATCAATGTGGAATCGATGGCCACTGACGAGATATCTAGTCTCATCTCCGAGAAAGCAGAGAATTCGCCCGAACACTCCGATTCCATAGCTGACATCAAAATCGACGACATCTCTAACAACAACACGACCGACAGTGGTCTCAAGTCTCAGATGGACGACATCCAGCTAACACGGAGTGCTGACGCACCAATCGTTGCCTCCTCCGTGAAATCATCTCTCGGGAGCACACCAGATATCAATGTGGAATCGATGGCCACTGACGAGATATCCAGTCTCATCTCCGAGAAAGCAGAGAATTCGCCCGAACACTCCGATTCCATAGCTGACATCAAAATCGACGACATCTCTAACAACAACACGACCGACAGTGGTCTCAAGTCTCAGATGGACGACATCCAGCTAACACGGAGTGCTGACGCACCAATCGTTGCCTCCTCCGTGAAATCATCTCTCGGGAGCACACCAGATATCAATGTGGAATCGATGGCCACTGACGAGATATCCAGTCTCATCTCCGAGAAAGCAGAGAATTCGCCCGAACACTCCGATTCCATAGCTGACATCAAAATCGACGACATCTCTAACAACAACACGACCGACAGTGGTCTCAAGTCTCAGATGGACGACATCCAGCTAACACGGAGTGTTGACGCACCAATCGTTGCCTCCTCCGTGAAATCATCTCTCGGGAGCACACCAGATATCAATGTGGAATCGATGGCCACTGACGAGATATCCAGTCTCATCTCCGAGAAAGCAGAGAATTCGCCCGAACACTCCGATTCCATAGCTGACATCAAAATCGACGACATCTCTAACAACAACACGACCGACAGTGGTCTCAAGTCTCAGATGGACGACATCCAGCTAACACGGAGTGCTGACGCACCAATCGTTGCCTCCTCCGTGAAATCATCTCTCGGGAGCACACCAGATATCAATGTGGAATCGATGGCCACTGACGAGATATCTAGTCTCATCTCCGAGAAAGCAGAGAATTCGCCCGAACACTCCGATTCCATAGCTGACATCAAAATCGACGACATCTCTAACAACAACACGACCGACAGTGGTCTCAAGTCTCAGATGGACGACATCCAGCTAACACGGAGTGCTGACGCACCAATCGTTGCCTCCTCCGTGAAATCATCTCTCGGGAGCACACCAGATATCAATGTGGAATCGATGGCCACTGACGAGATATCTAGTCTCATCTCCGAGAAAGCAGAGAATTCGCCCGAACACTCCGATTCCATAGCTGACATCAAAATCGACGACATCTCTAACAACAACACGACCGACAGTGGTCTCAAGTCTCAGATGGACGACATCCAGCTAACACGGAGTGCTGACGCACCAATCGTTGCCTCCTCCGTGAAATCATCTCTCGGGAGCACACCAGATATCAATGTGGAATCGGGGGCAGCTCTGAATATGTCTCCTCTGGATCCTGTATTTAACGATGATGTTTCTCTTCAGTGTTCTGGCTCGGATTCTGGCCTTTCGAATGCTGATTTTGCACCTGCTTTTTCGGATGGGAATTCCGGTGTGGTTTCTACTTTGTTAGGTGAGGATATTTCTGTTCCTTTGTCTACTCTTTCTCCTTCTACTGGCGGTACTTTTTCCACTAGTAATCTCTCTATGTCCTCTGGTTTGAGGACTTCTAATTCTTCTCTTGCGAAAAAAAATGTGTCAAAATTACCGCGGAGTCAAATGACGCCGTCCGCTTTGCCTAGTAAGCGATCTTCATTCAAGGGGTCCATGGAGGTTCTTCGCGTTGAACCTCATGCGAGCTCACCAGCACAGAAATTCAGTTCTTCTCCTTCAAGTCCTAATTTGTCACACAGGCTTGCACCAAATAAGCGAACATCGACAACGTCGTCAAAATTGCCAGTAAAATCTGGCTTATCTTCTGCTCAGTCAAACTCTTCAATAAGTACCAAGTCAAAATTAACGATGGCTGCTTCAATAAATTCTAATGCATCACCCAATGTAAGCCGAAAAACATCCTTTGGTTTGACGAAGGGGGATACATGAAAATAATAAGGATTATTCATACTATCACAGGATTTCTACAGATAACTTAATAGTATCCAATTTTTTATATGATATATTGCTTAATCATTATTTCACATTCTATTTTTGAGTGGTGAAACGACAGGCAATTAAACTTTTTATAACTTTCTAAATGATGTTTGAATTCATTGAATGTATAATACTTTTTGCCTACTATTTTGGAAAAACTGATAAGAGTAAATAATTTGTAATATTTATTATAACTTCATTATTTTAGTACGTAATTCTTAATGACTAGATGTGGGAATGAAGATATTGAAATTATTAATGGTTGTTGTAGTGGATGTCCCATCTATAACAGCAAAGTTTTCTTTGGAATGAAATGGATTCTGTGTTCAGGATCTCTTATAAATTTAAGGTTTAACAGTAAATCAAGAAGCTAAATGGTTGTATTTTGTAATCAATATGTCTGCTATTTTACTGAATTCTGCTACTTTAAGTTTCTAAGGTTGAAAAACAAACACAAAATAGTGTCTCTTTTTTTTAACTATTACCTCAGTTGTGTGTATTTGAAGGCTAATGAAACTGCCGAAATTGATGGAGAGAGAATCCATTTCAATTACTAGTTCCAATCAACCACTTTGAATCTGTCTAAACAACAGACCATTTCTTTCTCTAAACGATAAGAGCGCCAAGGAACTACATCGGCTTACTTCGCTTAGTAAGCTGACTAGTTCAAGCAAATATTTCAAAGGAATGGACCTTACCCTTGAGGACTACTAATTGTGGAAGTGTTGGTGCAAAGTGGAGTATCAGCTATGGACAGCAAACTAGTTAAAATATATGTATTGCTGGCTTTCAAAAGTAATATGTAACGTATCTGTTTTCCTCAGTTCGCCTAGCATCATTCGTTGTGTCAAACAGGTCACGATTCCTATATAAACACTTGTTTCTAACAGAAACTACGAATAAATCCCACTTTTGGGTTTTCCCTAGTTGTACCATTTGTCTTTAACTAAACATTTTGTAAATACTAGGTACAACTTAGGAATCAGTGTAAGTGTCCATCAACCTCTATACACACTGCTTGTTACATACGTGATATCTATATTAGGAATTTTAGAGTCCAAATAGACGGCTTCAGTTGAATGTGTACCGCTTCATCAGTGATGATTCGAACAACCTTAGTCTGTGTCACAAAACAGAGTTGCCTTAGGAAGTGAACTAAAAGGCAGAAGATTCAGTCAGAGAAGAATTTAGCAAAAATCGCCATACCGAAAACTTTCGTATTATATTTCTACGTGACAGAAAGTAGTTGAATCCCTAATTTACTATATTAGGATTCATTGAGTGAGAAAAAACATCTACTATTCGAAACAAATCGAACCAGTGGTATATTCTGTGAATTTTCTTAATCACGATAGTTTAAGCACTTGGAAAATTTGAGATGTTTCGCAGTGAGGATTGTATTAAAGTCTCCTAAAATTATATGAAGGAATTTTGAGATTTGTTTAACAATAGTATGGCATGGTGACAAATACATGCTCATAATCGGAAGTGAAAAATTCTTTTTATGCAGGAGATCATATAAAGATATGAATAATTCAATCTCCCTACTGCTTAATAACCCACCTCAACTTTCAGTGACTTTGAAATCAACTCAACAGCACTCTTATATTAAATTCAACTGGACGTCGTTAATTCAATGGATAGCATAGACATATAAAGAAAACTGAGCACTCTTCTGGAAGCTACCATATCGATCTAAAATTTAATGTAACTAAATCGAAATCGGTAATTTAAATAACTGAAACATAGGCATACAGATTTAATGGAATTGATTAATGCGGTGCAAATGTTAATTGTATTCTGTCACCAATCAGTTTTAACCTCTGAGTCCTTGAAATATAACCATAAGTAAAGGAATGATAATGAAATATTTTGTGATTACTATCACAATGCTTTAAATTGATGAAAATATCAGTATGCCATACAAGACAAATTTAACCAGGAAGTAACAATAATAGGGACGAGTGGCAAGCATACACAAAAAGATGACTACACAAACAACATCAGTAGTGCTTCCATACAAATGGGAACCTCTAAAGCCTTACGCATAATTCCCCAAAAAGAAATAAAAGGGCTATTTAACACCATAAACTAACTTAGAAACAAATTACTTCGATCAAAGGATCCTGTAGAGTTCATCAAATACTATCTAATACCCTACAATGATTGTGAATTCCAAAGTGGTAGAACGCTGCTAAGCTAGTGAAATTCGATTAATTGACCCTAGTAAGACAAGAAATCTAGAAAATACCTCAACAATAGCGCCACATGCAGTCACACACAATCATACAATAACACTGGACAGCATGACAGTCTTAAAATCTAATATAACAGGGTAGAGGGACATATTTATAACAAAAGCTTTATTTCCCGAATCCAATGAGAATATATGCAATAAGAATGATTCAACACCTGTCTCGGACATTTGGAAAATTCGACTACACATGTAAGAAATGGAAAGGAAGAAAGAGAACCATAAAAATGATGTTACGAATTTGTGTATTCACAACTGATATGACTATAAACAATAAATTTAGGCTTGAAACGTCATCCAGTAAATAAAACTGTTTCACTGAGTACGTGACATATATATATATATATATACATTCAGTAAACAAATTTATTTGGAATTACATCTTACCACCGTACCCAAATTTTACACATATATTATCAAACAGACTAGCGTAGAGTGACTGATTTGTCGCAATAATAATAATAATAATAATAACTGATGTTTGCCCTTCTATACATCTTTAAAGTGCAAACACTCCAATTAAATTTTAATATTTTGGATAGGAGCTAACACACAGTCTTCATGAGTAAACAATTATGTTGATCATACCATAAGGTATCTTTTCTACCGTCCTCACTTAAGTGATCCATCTGACACAGAAATATTTAATACCCCGAAAATAACTCTTATGATATTACACTAAAAACATGTTCATTGTAATAAAGTCTGCAAATCGTACTAAAATTACTTTATTTGTTGATGACTAACACTGGCACATGAAAAGCACTTAGTATGCTATCTAGAACTTGGAAAACTTGCATCAAAATCACTGTTGATATTTCTCTACTGAAACATAAAGCCAATACACATCGACTCAAGTATTAAAAAATCACTTCGTATTTCCTTACGAGAGAGAATTACACTTTGTGACTAAGCAAAATTCTAGTCAATGAAGGGATGAACAGTACAATCAATGATGTCTATACATTTGACTTGTATCAGTATAGAGTCTGATTGAAAAATAAATTAATTGATGGAAAATGATATGATATCAAAAATACAACTGCTGTTCCATTGTATTGTTTTTATTTTATAAATTTGCTAATCAAATTTGTAACTTTTATAAAGATTGTTTTTTTTTGTCTTATCACTATCACAACAGCTACCTCCAAGTAGGAAATCAATAAAAAAAGGAATTGAGATGATGAGATCAATAAATAGTACTAAATCAGAAATTTCTGATTGTTTCATTTATCGTGTACAATGGTGGGACTTAAGCCACAAACGAAATAGCATTTCCAAACTTTTTGCCTTTAATAAATTTTGTTTATTTCCTGCATGTTTAGTGTATAAAGCTATTTGGAGATACTGACTTCTGTAGGTAGTATTTCTGTGAAACATTTTGTGATTTAATTTTCTCACATTATAACTGGGCACAGGGATTTTCAAAGTTGCTCAAATCAGCCACTTGAATATTCCACCGTATTCTCCTAGTTCCTAGTAAACACTTTTAACAAAAGATTATATTTTTTTGGATTTATCACCATTGTCATTTCATAACTATTCAAGACGAAAATGGGATATCGAATAAGTTTACGATGTAGTGATCGAACTTCCCACTACGCCTGTGAATACATAATTTTGCTGATATATTTCTGGTGAAAATTGCCAACAATTGGATGTTAGTCTTCGGATTTTAGTCAAGATCTCAAATCAATTTTCTGTGTGAATTAGCCACAGTCTCAATAGACAACTTGACAAAACAAAAATGTTTTTAACGACGGAAGCAGTCAACCCGATGACTATCAGATTGGCAATATTTGGCGGTGAAAATTCAGTCAACTTTGATTATCTTAAAAACGGAGAGTAAATGGATGTCTTATGTAGCTGAGCTTGATACAGTAGAATAGTACTTCATCAGCTGTCTTTAAATAAACTGAATTTAGTAAAATTGTTAAAATAGTATGATTGTTTGTAAAAAAATGAGCTACTTGCGAGTAGTCAAACGCAAAATGCGAAAATACGCTTCTTCAACACTATGGCATGCGGTGCCAAAATCTTCATCAACCTCATTCAACAGCTGGCTGTATGACAGTGGCACTTATCAGGCGACCCACTACAGAAAACTCAGCGAGGTGTTCGAAGTGCATTTATTTATTTTTTATTTATTTAAGCGCAGAAAAACTTGGTACAATATGGCACCAAGAAAGATGCGCCACACAATAATAATAAAACAACATAGATTAAAAGTAAAAATATAGGTAGAAAACGGATAAAGAACTTCATCAAGAAGGAAAACAGTCATGTTTAACAAGTTCAAACAGTATTCGTTAACTATCATCAGGAAAGGAAGAAAGAAGGAAATTGCAGCACGTTCGCAATTGATTACGATTCTTGGCCATATCCCACAACGTTTCGAGCCATCAATTTGAGCTATCTCGCGGACCCCAACCAGAGAGTCATGACACACCAACCGATGCTAATCTAGCACAAATATCCTTCATCCCACGACGCCATGTCATGGACTGACCACCCCTCCGCCTTTTCCATCCCGTCCCAGGGCTAGCGAACAGAGACCTGTACGGAAGCCTCTGGGATGACATTCACAGCACATGTCCAAGCCACCGGAGCTGGTGTTTCCAGATAACGACACTCAATGAATAGTGATTTCCACTGCGTTCAAACACACGCCGCCGAACCTCAGAATTACTCACGCGATGATGCCATCGAACGCAAGCAATCCTGCGGAGACAGCGATGATCGAACATGCAGAGTCGCCGCACATTCTCAGCTCGGAGAGGCCAGGTTTCACAGGCGTAGAGCAGCGCAGCCCGCACCGAAGCATTGTATACCCGACCTTTGACAGCCAGGCTAACGTCGCGACGGCGCCAGAGGTTGCTCAAATTGATGTATGCCACCCTAGCCTTCATTATACGGTTGGAAATCTCATCCGTCACCCCTCCACCAGCACTCACACAACTACCCAGATACACAAACTTATCAACAACTTCAAGCGGTTCACCCGCAAGAGTGAGTGCAGGTACAGGCTCCTGCCAATCTTGTAACAGTACTTTGCACTTAGACGGTGCAAAGCACATACCATACTTACAGACACTGATCGCCAACTGATTAAGTACGATTTGGGCAGCCTGCATGCTATCACACAGTAAGACGATATCGTCTGCATACTCGAGGTCGAAAAGTCTATCTCGAGGTAACAGATCTACGCCACCTTCACGCACATCCTTCAGAGCTGACTCCAGAATGTCATCGATGGCAAAGTTAAGGAGAAATGGAGAGATCGGGCAACCCTGTCAAACCCCACTGTTGGTTGGGAACAGTGGTGATAGTTGGTTGTATGCCCTCACTCTACCTGAGGTGTTTCTGTATAGGGCTTTCAAGATGTTAACAAACTTCTCAGGTACACCTCTCTCTAACAGACAGTTCCAGAACACAGTTCTGTCCAACGAATCGAAGGCAGCCCTAATATCAAGAAACACAACGATCGTTGGCCTGCAATACGTGTGACGGTGTTCCAACAACTGACGAAGGGTGAACACATGATCAATGCATCCACGACCTGAACGAAACCCGGCCTACCCCTCGCGAATCAATCCTTCACGTATTTTGCACAGCCTGCGAAGCAAGACAGCAGTCAATAATTTAGACGCGACTGGTAGCAGACTTATACCCCTATGACTGTCACACGAATTACGTCGACCCTTTTTAAAGATGGGGACGATGATGGCTTCGTTCCACATTGATGGTACACTCTCAGTTTCCCATACCTTCCTGAACAACCCAGTTAGAGCCATTGTAAGAGTCTCTCCACCATCTTTAAAAAGAGCCGGGGGTAAATTGTCTGGGCCGGGCGCCTTATGGCGTTTTAACACTTGGAGTTCCTTACGGACCTCTGCTTCGGTGGGTGGGTCGGTATTAACCGACCTAGGAGCACTGGGGCTAATGACAGCAGACATTGAAGCTGGTGGCCAGCTAAACTGTTTCCCGAAGTGCTCTGCCCAGCGTTCCAGGCGTCTTTTCAAACTGGTAATTGGCGTGCCATCTGCCTCACAGACCGTCTCTCTGACACCTTGTTTCTTGCTGCCGGTGGCTCGGATGAGTTGGAACAGCTTCCGACTGTTGCCAGATGCAGCAGCTGACTCCATCTCACCCGCACGTTCTGACCACCAGGCCTCGTGGTCCTTACGTAAACACTGTCTTATCTTGCGCGTCAGCGCCTTTCGCTTATTGCTGTATTCGCTGCCAGTCGGAATGGACCGGCGTTCATCCAGGAGTTGCAAGGAACTCGCAGAAACCCAGTGGTTTTTGGCGAAGCATTCTTTCAAGCCACAAGCGGCTACACTAGCTCTTTGCATGGCACCTTGCAGATGGAGCCAATGTTCATCTATACTACTTGGGGGGTTGCTGGCAAGCATTGATTGTAACTCATTCTGATATTTCAAAGAAGTAGCAGGTGCTACTAGTTTTGCTCATATCAACGTTTAGATGACGCCTTTTATGAACCCCACCAAATCGCAAGACGAACTTGGCACACACTAACGCATGATCGGAGTCCAGGCATGTGCTCCAGAAGGAGCGACAGTCTTGTATGCATCCTCGCCACCGGAAACTGACAGCAATGTGATCGATCTGAGTCCAAGCTTGGTTCGCAGAGGGAGGACGCCAGGTAGCGCTACGGTGATGATTGTGCAGGAAGTTGGTGCTGGCTAGAAATGGGTTGTGATCCGCGCAAAGCTGCAGAAGACGGTCCCCATTATCTGATCTGCGACCATTTAGTCCCCATTGACCACCTAGACGATTCTCCTCTGAGCTCAGACGCCCGACCTGTGCATTCAAGTCCCCAGCCAGCACTACGATATCCCTGCGACCTGCCTGTCTCAAGAGATCGCTAAGTTGGTGGTAGAACTCATCCTTTATTGCATCCGGGCTGTAATCCGTTGGTGCATAGGCAGAGACAACAAATAGACACCGCCTATCTGGCCTACTACTCCTTACTTTTGCATAACCTTCCAGCCTCACAGCACATAAACGACTGTTAATGGGAATCCAGTCGAGCAGTGAAGCTTCGGCTCTAGCGCTCAGTGCGACATCGACACCAGCTACGCCGGATGCCGATGCCACAGGGTCCCCGGACAAGCGCAGGTGGTACATACTACTAGAACTTCCAGATGGAGAGGATAATCGAAGCACTTCACTGGGATCTTGAATGTGGGTCTCCGAAATCCAGCAGACATCGATAGCGAGGCTTTCCAATGTTCTTACCAACCCTGCCTGTTGTCCGATTTGCATCAGCGACCGAACATTGCAGGTGGCCAGATTGAAGGCGGCACGCGGTTTCAGGATATCTGTGTTAGATGTCACATTGGGGACAGCCATTTTGAGGGTTACTCACTAACATCTCGAAACGATACAGATAGGTTAGGAATCCAAACAAAGGCGAAAGGCTGTCGAAGGTTAAGAAGTCAAGGTGAGCAAAGGTAAAATACAGGAAACTAAGTATAAAAATAAAAGTAAGGTTGGTAAGAGATATATCAACTGGGACATCATTATTGCTTGAGAGCTTTGTTAAGAGCGCGCGATGAGTTTCACTGATAGTTTGTTGCTTCATTTAATTAATTGTTTGAGGGCTGAGATACTGCCCGGGCGCCCAGAACGAAGCAGGTGGTTTTCTTAAGGGACCAACCACCGAGCCTTTGACTTGGAGTCTAATCCGCAAGGCAGTGGAGCAGCGTCAGGTGCTGCGTTCCCATGGTTGCCGGTGACCCATATGGGTTCGTACGCCATTTCATCCGATTGGATTCTGGAGCCCATGTACCCCATGGTAACTGCTTTTAGTCTAACCGCTATCCAAACAACCTTCCTGGCATGGTAGGACCTGCAGGGACATGAGTCCCAGCCAGTTTAGCTTGTTGGGTCACTGCGGCATTCAAGCCCGACCACCACGGCAAGGTAGCAGTTATCGGCCGGGGTCGAAGTGCATAAGGGAGTAAGGCAAGGCAGCTTGCCTGTTATCATCAATGATATTCTTGATTGTGGTGGACTAGATTAAGCTTCAGACTGTGGGGAGTGAGAAGACGGAAATACGCTAGACCACTGATAAGAAGACTCTAGAAGATCTGGATTTCGCATGTGGATGATATATGTCTGATGTCACACAAATTCGAAGAATTGCAGGCAGGCGAAAACCAACAAACTGGCAGGCGGCGAAGACAGGACTGCAGGTGAACATAGAGAAGACGGAAGGGGTGAAGATAACCAATGAATCACAACAACCAGCACTAATCACCATCAACGGGCGAGATTGAACAGAGGTTACCTCTTTCACTTATCTAAGAAGTATCGTATCAACCCACAGCCATACGGCTCGGATGAAGATGTCAAAGCCAGAATCGGAAAGGCAAGATACATACGCCTTCATCAACCTGAAACCAGTTTGGAAATCTGCACTAACTCAGCATAAGGAACAAGATTCGGAATTTCAACACCAATGTCAAGTTGGTGCTCCTACACGGGCCAGAAACTTGCACTCTGTGTCACGAAGAGGATTTCCAACAGTTTGCAGACTTTCATTAACAGCTGCCCACTTCCCTGGCTGGCTCCAAACTGAAGGTCAATTGGCCGCCGACCAGAAAGAATTAGCAAGAAACTCTGGCCGGGGACAAACCAACCAAGAGCCGATCGCTCAACAAATATGTAGGAGAAAATAGAGATGGATCGGATGTACATTGAGGAAACTGTCGAGTGACATCGCGCACCAGACCATTGCTCGAGTGGAATCCAAATGGGAAGCGGCGAGTGGGTCGTCCTAGGGTGACATGGAGATCGTTCGAGTAAGAAATGAGAGACTATGGTTAATCGTGGACTCAGCTGAAGAGGATGGCAGAAAATAGAAGAAAGTGGAGGTGTTGTTGAAGCCCTATGTTCTACTCGGAACAATAAATAAATTCTTTTGCTAATGCAGTGTTGAACTTGGAGAATGTGAGAATAATATTCCATTGGAACACAGTTTCTATAACACACCACCACACTAACATCCCACTTCAAAAGATATATTATTGACTTCAATACCCTATTTGATCATACGTAACACAAAGTTATTCATTTTGGTGTGGTTGTGTTCTCTGAGCTGGATGGTTTGGTTGCGAAGCTTTCATTGCTCTACTGAGCAACATCTTCAGCGCATACTTCGATGTATGCTGCGAATAGCTGCAAAGTGGCCGAAGAACATCCTGAATTTCTGAGACTGACCATGTTGCCCTGAGGTATTGAGTGGAGAACCAAGCTGGGGTCTTGTATGTATGTCTCAAAGAAATTACCTTCACCACAGCGAAAGTTGCAGTGTACGGTTTTCTGAACCAAAGCCTTCGAATCCTGACCTTATTAGCGGAAATGAAGCACAGCTGAATTACATTTCTATTTGCCAGAAGTACGACTTCGCCCTCAGACCAGCAGCACAGTGTGAGCGACCTACACCAACCGTGACAACTCTTCTTAGTTTGACCGCTATCTAAATGACCTTTCTGGCACAGTAGGAGCAGCAGGGACATCCGTTCCAGTAAGTGTGGATTGTTGGGTCATTGCAATATGGAAGTTCAACAAAGAAGTCAATGCAGCAGCTGTCAGTGGGCCATGAAAAATATGAGACTGATCTTACATGCTAGAACACTAGCTAATAAGCCTTGTGCATCTGGACTAAATAAAATTTCTGGTTGGAGTATTACTATTAGAGCTCCGCATCAGTGTCAGACTCTTAACCAGTATACAGTAACGATCACGGCTGCATGAATTCGAAGATATATATGTGTATATGCTGCACAAAAAATATACTTGTGGCATTTCTCCTTAATTTTGACAATAGTAAATTGTTACATAACCCCAACCTGCACATCAAAGTGATAAGTTTGAGGATCTATGTGCCTCCTCTCATGTCTTTCAAAAACGCGAATAATACAGAAAAGGAAAATAACAAATTTTTCGACTTTATTTTAAACATCATACACAAATAGTTTCACAAAATAAATATTTAATACCCGAAAATTTATTGCTGACGATGAGTGCATAGATGTCATGAAAGTGTTAATACACTTGACAACACTACTCATAATACTTGGTGAGCACAAAAAGTAGCAACGAAAATGAAAATTTACATCAATGCTTAACTGTTAAGTTAGTAAAAAAATAAACTCAAAGGATATCCTTCATAAGACTCGATCTATCGGTAATAAGGTGGCCGGGCGACATGAATGCCTCTGTCATTTAATGAAGCAATTAGATCCTCTAGTGTAAGAGTAGCACGACGATCAGCCGGGAACTTATTTGCTCCAGGTCTCGCACCTGAAATCAAAATACAAAAAGTAGTATAAATAAAAATGTTGCTGTCGATTAAAGCCTAAACCTAGACTATTAAAATGCAGTGCCATGTCCTAAGTATTTAATAATGGATTACAAATAAAAGTGCATTGGGTGTAGTTGTGTACTCTAGACTGCGAAACGAATACAACTACAGTACGACAGAGAACACAGCTACACTAATAGCATCCACCTGAGTTACAAATCTTTTCCATCGCTTCTAAAAGTGCATTTACTTGACGATGGTGATTGATTCTGACTGGCAGCTGATGTCGTGGTGGACACTTGACCCGCTACAGATGACGCTGAACTACCGGGATGATTAAGTAGACCAGTAGGTTGTCCATTTGCAAGTCGCCAATGGAGCATAGCATCAGAAAGGATATCAGTCAAAAACTTTTGACCAGCGAGACTAACTAAACGTGCGAGTCGTGGATCACTGTTTTCCATTTGTACACCAGCGCCCTCTAATATAGCAACCGACAACCTGTCAGGGATCTAAAATTAAAGGGAAGAACAAAAGAAGTATTGGATCATGTATAAAAGAAACTGTATTATAACACAAAACTGAAAATCAAAGAACACCAATAATCTGTTAAAAAAGTTTACAGTGTCCTAAACCTACTTCGAATGATCAAATTAGTACTGAAGAATACCGAGTGCCTATGAAGAACTTGTCACAAAATAGTAACAGATATAATGGATAAATAAATAGAATAGTTTAAAGTAAGGTTTCAAAAAGTATTAGTAAGAAATAGCGTTCATTTGATACCACTGTTGTAGACCTGACCTTTTAGGTAATTCAAAAAAGTAAAACTCCATCACAACATAGAGGGGACAATGCTGACAAGTAATGATGAACTAAAATCACTAACAACTGTATTTGAAAAAGTAAGCACATTACATATATATATATACAGTGAAGCAAACTTTCTATACTATAGCAAATAAATAAAATATCCACTGATAATACGAAGTATTTACCGTAGGCTGTATGTGATCAAGTTGAGTCCAAAGATTACTTAGGAGTGTACCATTTGCATTAGAGGAACTTGAAGGCACTGCGCCTGACGATGATGTTGGGTTAGTTGTACGACTGCCATCAATGCCCGACGTTGCTGCTGGTTTGAACGACGCACTTTCAGTAATCATAGAGCACGCAGATTACACTTAAAAACCTGAAATAACAAACAGGCAGTATATCTAAAACATCAAAATGAAAGCGTCTCCAAGTATTCCAGAACTTTGAATTAGGAATTATTTGCAATGTTTATCTGTGATATAGACACAGGAATCAGTCTGACTAATAATGCTATTCTAAGGTCCATAGTCATACAAAAACCAAATTAAGCTCTAGAAAAACAAGTCTGAGTAAACCAAGCACATTTCAGGTCTGAATGATTCATTTGTCACATCTTCACTTCATGACAGATCAAGGAGCAAATTTGTTACATTTTTACACTTGAATAAAAATTCGACTTAGGCGATCAAGAGCTATTAAACCTATGTTTAACCGGGAAATGTGTGTTTATAAACATGTAAATCATGTAGAATTAATGGAGCCAATTAGGAGCTTATGAAAAGTTGTCACTCCGAAACGACGAGTTTTTTTCATGACTGTTCAATCTCACTAATCCTAAGTAATTTTATTGAGACCATACTGATAGGTTACTCCAGTGGATTTCGACATTTCAAGAACCGTTTTGCTACCACAGAGACATCTGAATTCGAATATACACAAGATATAGTCTCCTTAGATGAAAACGCTGACAAAATGCACCGCTCTGGATACTTGGGATTCAGTTAGCTCTTGGAGAAAGAAAACTTATGCTAGTTGAAGGATAGGAGATGGAACAGTTAACCGTGTTGACCACTTCACTTACTCAACAATTTACATCAGCTATTATGTAGTGACTACTGGTGAAATCTTAGGACGAATACACACAATTGTCCAGGTATTTTCCGATTTCAACTATTTTATCCGGTATATGAACAAAAGTGACTGTAGTGTATTTTATATTTTCAAAGTAGAGCTGGTGAGGTGATAATTGAGTTCTCACTAGATGTATGTATTCCATACATCACGAACGCGGTGGTAACGAATTATTATACAGTACTGAGTTTTGCCAGGCACACTGAATACTTTATAAACACGGTATAACAAATCTATATTCATTTGAAAGATTCTAGTTAGCTGTTTATATTAAAATAATTAGGATTCATTTTAAAAACAGCATTTTACTATGGTAAAACGAATAATAATATTTCCCCGTGACACCAACTTACATTCTAGTGAACTAACCATCTTCAGTGAGTTCCATAACAAGTAAACATTCTTCATCAATCCAACGTTTGAACTAAGATGTTATAATGACTGGACACTAGAGAGTAAGTAGAGTCATGTATCTAGTCTTTAATGGTGTTGACTGAAATGTAACAGTCAATTTGGAATGTGGTAGTCAATCTAGAACACTCATTATTGCGGTACTTTTTGAAATCTTGTTAGATTGTTGGAAAATCGGCAGATGCCACATAGCTAGATTTCGTGCTTCGGCAGTCAGTACAGCATATGTACAACCAAGAAGGCTGTTTTATCTGAGATGGTAGATCTCCTAGATTGGTGACCATATTAGAAAATTGACTAACACAATTCAGTCAGTACCTTTAACCAGACACTTGACACTGATTACTCCAACAGAATTTCATCCCACCTCACAGTGTTACTGATGGCTTTAGGCCATAAGTTCACTTGTACTTTACGTTGTTATTCGTAATACAATACTCCCGAATTTACTCGTGTTTAAGTAAGAAATTGTAGAATATTTTTTTATTTTCTGAACTAATTAGGAATGACTAAATCATCCATGTTAGTAGTGAACAGTTCTTGGCGGTATTTACAGAAAAAAGTACGTTTCATTTGATAATGTACGACTAAACAGCTCATTTCATAGTTTAGTTGTACGGTGCGTCGGTGGCACAGCGGTTAGGACTCTCGCCAACCATGCACATGGTCCAGGGTTCGATCCCCTGCCGACGCACAGCCGATATTAATGGTCGGCCTGCAAAATTGGGCTACCGATATCACATGCTGAAAATTACATACTTGCACCAAAATACGGTGTGGAATCAAGCTATAATCAAAAATAAAATAAACAATTAATAGACTTCCTTCCCCATAAACTGTTAGTATGAATGATATTTCTAGTATCATCAGTAATATTCTACATAAGGAGACATATCTATGAATCTCCTGAACCTCTTCATCAAACCATATTACAATAATTATATATTTCAATTCCAATAACTACTATAGATAGTAAATATAGATAAATATAAATATATATGAAATGAAATGTCAAGGTTATTCTCACATTTGAGAATAGAATTTGAACACAAAGGCCTTCATATGATTATGAGTAATAAACTGTGCTCGAAACGACTTTATCAGGAAATAATACTGTATTACTGTGCGCTTTTTCATGAAATCTATTCAATGTAAAAGCGATTCCTTGAATCTATTTCAACGGAAAATTTACATTATATGCAAACAAATTTGTTTGGACAAATATCATGATAAGAGTATACCAAAACGCTTAACTTTTGGGTGATTGATTCTAACAAATATTTTCTCAATCAAATAACTTGAATATTCATCTGCAGTGCAGAGAGAGGTGTAAGCACAATCATATTTTAGTGATAGAAAGGTGACTGAAAAAGGTTCATCTAGATGAGGTATATGTAAGGGATATAAACACTGATGATATTTCAAGTCAAACATAAACTGCCAAATAAAAGGAACAAGCGAACAACACACATGCTGAGAAACAAAAAATACAAATTCGTGAAAAGTTATATTAAAAGAAGATTTGGATGATATGCATTACTGTACATCCTTAGCAGATAAATGTATTATCTTATTTCGATCCCAAAAATTATCTTCGATTAGGAAACGCCTTTGTGATTGATCACTGCATGATGCTTCTGCCCAACTCCATAGTTTTCGCAGAAGTCCACTTGTAATTAGACCACGTAACCAGGGTGTGATATTCGATTTACACAAGTAAGCGTCTGCAGTTGACGATAAGTTCGTATAATTTGGTGAGAAATGTTCCATACTTTCAAATTCATCCAAAGACACCCAACGCACATCGCTTACTTCATCAGGATTAATTTCCAGTAAATTTGTATCTGAAGTATTTTGTGCTGTGTGGAAGCAATCCGAATTCAAAGTGAAAAAACGACTGTTTATATTTAATCAAAAAACAATAAATTTGTAAAAGATAAATCCCATGACAAAGATAATCACTGGATTATCCTTATATGGTGAGGCAAATAAATGGTGAGACTTATTACTCAAGTGCATACTTTATTTTTGCTGAGTTCTGACTGGTGATACTATTTCATTTTTAGGATATCATTAAGTAGACTATAGTTTAAACCTGTGACTCCTTGACTCATCCAATCGTTACACTGAAAAGACACAAGTTTAAAGAATACCGCAACCTAGTTATTCTGTATAAATGTGTTCATGTATCAAGCTGCGAGATGCTTCGAGTCAGGGGCATTACAGTATTAACTAGTTATCTAGACCGAAATAAGTAACGCGCAATTACAGTGGGCAATTAGTTCACTCGAAAATCGTAAACTTTAGCTAGCCAAACCTAACAAACCATCCAAGAGAAATAAGCTAGTTTAACCTACAGTGGCAGGTATATAAATACGATGCTCATTCTTTATATGACATTTAAAAACTGAATGAATGAAAGTCTGCAACGTAGAACTTCGCAAACAAGTGCAACGACCCAAGTTACCACACTATATGCTACTCAAAAGTAGAGAAAAAGTCCGAAAAAACTATAATTAACAGAAATGTACAGAGGGGATAATAAGCATTTTCTATTCCTTTACGTTCCTAGTGGAACACAGGGCTTCAAGCTAGAGGCACCATAATAAGCATTTAAAGAATTTGAATTCAATGAATCTGGGAGATGCCAAAGTGTGAAGCAATCTGCGCGACTTAGAACGCTTTGACCGGTATCACTAAGTCTCCAACTACTAGTTTTCAGAGTCCCAATGACCCCAGTAAGACAGTCTACACTTCCTCAGGACAAAAGTCAAAAGCCTCAAGAACTGAAGCGAAATTTTCATTTGACCACCTCCAACTCTTTTTTTAACTATATTTCACGTAAGCACAAGGAAGGCGGTAGTATGTCATGCATACACGAGTCCTAACCAACTCATTCAACGCAGGCAAGTAATAATACCGGTTAGCTTGCTCTCCTTGTCTAACACTACGCTAACCAATATGTTATTAACAGCTGTGCCTACAGCTAACTTCATACTGTGTCAGGCTTCTTTAGCAGGAGTCTTGCTGTTCATCTAAGATACTCATCTCTCATATGACAGTGCAGAACACTTCAAATCAACTGTTTTGAATTGTTGCCTCGACTACATCAACAAAAAACCTAGACTTCGTAGTATGCTTTCAAAAAAACATCGAAAGCAACTCAAACAATTGAAATCAAATGAAAACCTGATAATAACTCGACCAGACAAAGGCTCTGGAATTGTTCCGCTTAAAAAGTCAGACTATGTGAAGAAACTCTCGTCAATTCTATCTAATGACAGCAAATTTCAAAAACAGATGATCCCAAAAGATCCAACTGAACAGACGAAGCTCCAGCTAACAAACTTATTGAAAAAAATGAAAGATGAATCGGTTATCAATATAGAACTATATGAAAAACTTCGCCCATCTGGTTCTACATCGCCACGAATGTATGGACTACCCAAAGTGCACAAAAAGAACGTCCCACTCCGCCTAATATTAGATATGATCAATTCGCCATATCACCTAATCGCGAAGTGGCTGGTAGAAATTCTTGGACCAGTGAAAGAAAAGTTGTCGAGATACAACCTCCGTGACACATTCGATTTCGTGGATTCAATTAAAAACGTCAACCTCGCAAATAAAAAGATGGTCTCCCTAGACGTCGTCTCTCTGTTCACCAATGTTCCACTGACAGAAACTATATGCTTTCTGTGTGACTTCATCCAATGCAACAGCATAGATGTCGGCATACAGATCCATTATCTAAAGGAGCTGTTACTACGTTGCACCTTCAACGTCTACTTCAGATACAACAATGAAACCTACAGGCAAACAGATGGCGTAGCAATGGGCTCTCCACTCGGACCACTCCTAGCCGACTGTTTTATGGCCAGCCTCGAAAACAACCCCTTACCATCAACTATCGACGACCTTCATCTCTACAAGAGATACATTGATGATACTTTCATCATTTGTGATGAGAAGCTGAACCTTGAAAACTTACCTCAAATCTTCAACAACGCCCACCCAAACATAGACTTTACACTTGAGACTGAATCCAGCGGAATGTTCTACTTCCTGGACGTCCATCTGACAAGAAACGACAACTCTTTGAAAAGGTTCATATACAAAAAGCCTACATGGAATGGACCATTCATCAACTTTTAAAGCTTCGTGCCACTAAGCAGAAAGAGGAATCTGATATACGCTCTTTCCTCGAGGATTCGGAAGATATGCAGCGAGGAACTGATTGAAGAAGAACTGCGTAATCTTCGAAAAACCCCGATAAAAAACGGTTTCCCACCCAGGTTTATAGACAAGAATCTCAAATCTAAGAAGACTTCCGAACAAGTCCGCTCCGTTCCAAAGAAAATACTTCTGCTTAATCTAGAATTCAAAGGTGATATTGAAGCAGAAATCCTTCGCAAACGCCTCTCCGAATCGCTGAGGAAAACATACTTCGCGACGAGCCTACGACTGACGTTTTCCTGCAAGAAACTGTTCAACCAGAACGCGAAAGACAAGCTGTTGCATTGGGCCACCTCAACGTGCATATACCAGTTCACTTGCTCTTGTGGAGCTGAGTACATCGGCCGTACCATGCTCCGACTTGGAAAACGCGCTCGTGAACCCTACCCAGCCTGGCTAGTAAAAGGAGACCAAAAACGTGTATACAGTTCAGTGACAGAACATCTGGTCAACTTAGGACATTCAGCGCCTTTCGAAAAATCCTTCAAAGTAATATACAAAATTCAATCAAACCTATCAAAGGGAATCAAATCAAGACATCTGGGCATAGCTGAGGCGCTAGCTATCCAAAAGCTCAAACCCACACTTTGTATCCAAAAGAATTACGTCCAACCCCTCTCCCTACCATGGCCATCAAAAACAGGTAAAATTTTTTAGTAATGACAATCTCATCGCCTTTCTTATCTAAACTTCCTGTTTTACAATTAAAAGCGTTCTCTGAGCTGGTTGGTTTAGTCGCGAAGCTTTCGTCATCCTTCCGGATGACGACTACAAATCTTCTCTATTATTTCAAAACTTCCTGTTTATTCATGTTATTTTAAGTTTTTCTTAATCCCTGTCTACACCACCATATTTTCCTATCCACACTTCCTGTTTATTTTGTCATTTTACTATTTCTACATATTTAATCCCTGATTGCATAAACAATTATTCATCATATTAGTTTTTTACCCAAACATCCTGTATATTTTGTTATTTCTACATTTCTAACCCCCAATTGCACAATGTCAATCTTCTTAGTTATTATGCTACTTAGTTTGAGTTTTACCCATCCCCCTGTTTATTATGGCATTCTAATTCCTAATTGTAATTTTTATTAATTTGACCCCTAACCGGAAATTATTCTGGAACTTTCCCATCCATTTGATATAAATACACGAATGTACAGCCCAGATGATGAATACGTCGAAAAGAAAATTTTCTTAGCTGCAACTGTCTTTTTACTCGTCTCTCTATTTTTTCCATAAATAGGTACTCAGTGTCCTAAGCTATTTGGGGACATAACTACTTCACTGCCAAAAGTTTTTCATGTCCATTTAATTGTAAGCATAAATATGCGCGAACCAGGGCGTAGTCGGAAACTACACACGTGTTCCAGAAGGAGCGTCAGAAGTAGGACTACGTTATCCAAACAAAAGGATAACAGCAATATATAAACGACTGACTGATCCTAACAGAAATTTGCACAGATGTGCAGCAGTTCGCGTTGCAACACACCATCTGGCACACAAAGGAAGATAAAAAAGAATAAACCGATTCGAAAGAACGACAATAAGGGGAAATGTGAAGAAAGAAGAACAGCAGCACGGAAAACCAATATGGTTTCATTGGATACGTCACATTAAAAAGTGAATGCATCTGTAGCACTGAGAACAATTTTGAGCCATAACACCAACAGTCTTCAGTCGTTGCTTCTTAGCATCTCGACGACCGCAACCAAGCAGTCTACACCTGCCTATGCGGTTCAAACCAACTGTCAAAGACTCCATGGATTGATGACAGGCTTTGGTCTGACCACCACTAACTCCTTTCCAACCCAACCCTACGTAAGCTAAGATTGCTCGACGAGGGAGCTGGCAACTCGTCATGAGCACCACGTGTCCTAGCCATCCCAATCCATGTAGCTTCACAATCTCATTGATTCACCTCCCCTCCTTACCTAGCAGTCCACGCCCAATCTCCATATTACTCACCATGTTATACCACTTAACACGGGAGATAGAAGGCGGACATCCGTGGTCAAAGACGGTTAGCCTCTTCAGGTCTTTCACATTCAACAGCCACGTATCAGGACGACAAACCAGGAGAGGGTGAAATGATGCACAGTACACACGTCCTTCGGTCGATAGCCGGATATCACGTCAACACCAGAGATGACATGAGTTGGAAAATGCCACACGAGTCTTTTCTATCCGTGATGAGATCTCTTCAGTAATCGGTTGATTTCGGCTGATGCAAATTGACAAATAAGTGAAGTGGTCATCATTACGCCCTACCACTTCACTCCCTATCTTTCAACTAGGAGTCGGTGCAGACCAGTCGTGCTCCATCGTCTTACTTTCGACTAGGGCGAATCGTATGCCAAACATTCGAAGATTTCTGCTCAAGATGTTCAGAAGACTCTTCGTTTTGTCAGTGTTTTCTCCTAGAAGGACAATATCACCTGCATATTGTAAACCGAAAAGACTGTACCCTGATAACTGGTCAATCCTTAAGTAACTGAAGTCATCTACAAAATTATAGGGAAATGGGGACAGTGGGCACCCCTGATAAACACTGGTTAGAAATTCATAAAATATTTCACCGGTGTTTTTCGCAGTGCGGAGTGAAGCGCATGTAACTGAAGACAATGTAACTACCGAAACCCATGGTTGACATAACCCAAAGTGATTAAAGTATCGCGGGTACATCCGTATCGTAATTGAAATACTCCCATTTTATTTCGTTTTCATGATAACCCATTTTAGACTCTTTTTATTATCTTGTTCAGGTAAGAAGTCAGACTAATCGGATTGGCATGCATTTCCGCTCCGTCTTGTTTTAGTGTCAATCAGTTTCCCAGTTATACTTCATATTATCTTTAATTCATACCAAAACTTTGAGGAATAAGTTTTAGTCTGTGAATTACTTTAGTTTCTTACCATTCAAACATCCATGTATTCATCGTGTCCGAAAGAGTTACGAGAAACAAAAAGGTTTCGGTGGCCATTCAACAAATATATTAACAAGAAAAGGATACAAATACATCTTAGAGAAGGGTTTCTATACTTACTCGCCACCGGATCAAGCACGCTAACGAGAATGTAATCCACTTCATGTTCAGCAAATTTATTCTGGGAAGTTGGTTCGTTCGTTGCTGCATACAGTATTCGACCCAGGAAGTTTATTCGACTTAGTGGCAAAAAATCCGTTTTTATGCCTAATTCATGTAGAGCCTATTCATAAAATAAGACTGAACGCGGTTACTCACTTTCCTTTGGGCAGCTTTTTTGACTCCGATTGCATCTGATTCAACCATTTCATCAGGAAAGTTTCTGATTGGATGACTGCAGCACGTGTTGGACCATAAGGACGGGAATGTAGGCTTATTGCTGGAACGTCTTTGGATAAGTAACTCAAGACTGCCGTTCGGATTTCCATTAGTCGTACCCCGACGGAAAAGAAACAAGCTAAAAGCTCGATGAAGTAAGCATTTATCGCCAATTACTTGGTGACAGTTCTAACAAATTAGAAAATTTAAATATGTATTACTTGTTTGTTGGCAAAGCCTAAAACACAATCTGTCTCATCAACAAGTATGCAAAATTCTTCCTGCATATATTTTGACTGCAAACTCATACGCCGTCTAGCTGCCAACCTTATAAATCCAGAAGTGATGGATTTTAACATTTTTGACATAATAATGTAGACCCAGATATTATAGCCTTGGTACTGTAAAAATAACAGGATACACCGTTTCAGAAATAACATTTATTCTAACATAAGACTTCTAAATGAAAACACTACCTTTCTACCACTAATCTAACTGGAGACCTGAAAAAAGGAAGAAATTAAAACAACCAGTTTTTTTTTCTAAAACTCAACAGTTTTGCTATATACAGTAGAAGTTTTGACAAACTTGGAATTTCCCAAGCATTATTTTGTAAAGATTTGACTGATTTCATCAAAAGTCAATATCAGTACGGCTGAGGGGTTCTAAACTACTACTAGTTGGATTAGCTTTCGTTTTCAGCCTTGAAATCTTCAGTACAGGCTGATTATTATGTCAGTGTGCTATTGATAACATATAAACAAACATGTATATGCTCACCAACGAATTTGTGTCACAGTAACTGACTCCAGATTACAGAAATAACTGAGTAATAGTGGTTCTGAGGATATCAAAACTCCGAATATGTGGTTTACACTGAGCCATATTTTGATAGTAAACAGTGAATTTCCAAATGTGCTGACCATTTCATTTTTTTCGGGAAACTGAATCATCAGCAATTGGTTGTTTGAGGACACCTAAACATGAATAAAAACCTATGCTCCTTTTCAACCTTCGATACCCATGGCACCGACATAAGATCAGTTTGCTTAGTGTGTGCAGTGTTGCGGCAGTGAAATGAAATGCAGTGTCAAGCAATTAAGGGAGGTCAGTTAATGAAGTTGTAAAACTGCGACATTCGTCATACCGCTTTTCTCAACAAGCATTAGCATTATACGGGTAGAGTGGCAGCACAAACAGAAACAAAAATAAAGTGAATATCGGGAATAAGAAAATAAATGACATAGAGACAAAAGAATTACTAGACTTCAACCATACCAAATATGCTGCAGAGTGATGCTTTGGTATTTGGCAAGAGACGAAAACCAAGGTGATGTCAAAACTATGTTGAGATGTATAAAACACACATTAAGATCATAGGTGAAGTTAGTATTGCAGCCAAAGTTGACCCCTAAGAGCCAGACAAAGTTCAACTTTAAGCTTTAGCAAGCACCAACGGACAAACGACCTTGAACTCACCAACCATATAAGGGTGATTTTTGCGTATAAATACATATTTATTTGAAAATGAATTGAAAGGCATGAAATTTGCACAGGATACCCTTCCCTGACGTGTGACAAAAAAACCTCTCAGTTTTGGGTTCTAGTATCAACAGAGTAATTTGACCATATTCTACGCACGTAATTATCTGGCTTTTAACCCTAAAAATAACCTAATCTTTTCTTAACCTAACCCTAATGTGAAAATACCCTTAAACTAACCCTAATCTAACTCGAACCAACCCTAATGTCGCCCTCATTAAGTTAACCAAACCCTAACCTGTCCTTTGTCTAATACTTAACTCCATCAGTCTCAAACGTAACCTGAAACTTGCCAGATCCCATTTATTAACATCGCACTTAAGTAAGCATATTTTATTAATGACTATTTACCAGATGTATTATTGATATAAGAATAAAACTTGAGCACTGTAGTAGAGCACAACTCCATTATGGAAGATATTACCGATCGAATCAAGGGTTAATAAATAATGCTAAAATGTATTCAATTAACACCATAACATCGCAACAATTTACTTATTTTTACTATAAAAACATCTTATTTCCCATCTTAGTGTATTTTATTGATAACACTAATATAATTTCCAAATACGCTTCATCTTATATTGATTTTCTTTAAATGTCTAATCAATTTTTACTTATGTATATAAATGAAGCAAGCAAGTTGTGTGAGTGCCTTAATAGGGTTATGAGCAGTAATTTGTGCTCGAAACGTCATATTACTGTACAACACTGTGATTTTATCAAAATAAAATCTTATCCATAAGGGATTATTTACCAGGTTTCACAAACTCACTCACTGAGCTTTCCAAGGTCATTCGTGCGATCGTACATCACTGATACTTACTGATGCTTAAAGTTTAACTTGGCCAAGAGCCAATCAGATTTAGGGAAAGCCACAAAATGACATTCTTACATCACATCATGTCTGCCTTTTCGGATTTTGTGAGGCTGGATACAGTTTTCTACTTCTTCCCTAGATACAATATACTGTACATATGCAATCTATATGCAAACAAATTGAAAATAGGGATACGCACTACAGATCTGGAAGAACTACTTTTGAGATGTACATTGAATGTACAGTTTACTTTCAATGAAACAATCTACAGACAGAAGAATGGTATTGTAATGTGTTCTCCCTTGGGTCTTCTCCTTGCAGACTGTTTTATGTCGTCTAGAAAATGGTCAGTTGAAGCCAACAATCCAAAGTTTTTAAATGTTTAAAAGGTATGTAGATGACACCTTTATTATTTGTAATTGGGATAATATATTAAATGTATTTAATGGTTGCCATCCTGCGAAATGGAGAACGAGTCTAGCATTCATTTCCTCGATGTGAACTTATCAAGGAGGACCGATAGAACTCTGAAGAGATCGATTTACCGAAAGCTGTCATGGAATGGTCAACTGACAAATTTCTACAGCTGGGTACCCATTGGTCGGAAACGAACCCTGGTCCGGTCGCTTGCCAGTCGCATTCGGCACATATGTAGCCCTGATACTGTGGAAGATGAGTTAAATCTTTTGAGGAAAATCTTAATAGAAAATGGATTTCCACTACGTTTTATAGATAAGAATATACATTCAAATCCTTTAAAACGTGACTTATCATCCGCAACCAAGAAAGTACTGTACATGACCTTGGAATGACAAGGGGACTTAGCTTCCGATATCATGAAAAGAAGGATATCAGAGTCCCTGAAAAGAACATTCCCTGCTGCATCTCTGAGAATAGCCTTTACTAGTCGACCATTACTCTTCAATAACCTGAAGGACAAGATCCCAATGTTGGCCAACTCTGTGTTTATCAATTCACCTGCTCGTGTGGAGCTAAGTATATCGGTCATTCGAATCGAGTTTTGTCCAAGAGGGTGCTGCTGCTGCTGCTGGGTTCAACATATAACTTGGCACCGAAGTGCAGCAGTTCGAGTTGCCACGTTCCAAATAGCACACAAAGGTAGACAGGAAAATGAGAGAAGAGAATCAATAGAATTTAGATAAGTATAAGAGTGAAACAGAATGAGTAATGGTAGAAAGGAATATGAAGGTTAAAGAGACTGAATACATCTGCGCCATTGACAACGATTTTGAGCCATGTCACCTACTGTCTCCAGCCATTGATTCTTAGAGTCCCGAGGGCCCCAACCCGGAAGTCTGCATCTCCCTACCTGACTCAGTTTAACTGTTAGGGATTTCATGGACTGATGCCATGCTTTTGTTTGGCCACCACTTACTCTTTTCCAACTTGCACCTATATCAGCTAGTAATGCCCGTCGGGGGAGACGATGGTTAGGCATGCGCAGCACGTGACCTAACCATCTCAATCTATGTAACTTCATAGCCTCTTCGAGTGATTTTCCCTCTATGCCCAACACTCTATGCCTAACGTCAACATTACTTACCTTATTATACCACCTAACGCGAGAAAGAGATCGTAAACATCTGTGGTCAAAAACAGACAATCTCTTCATGTCTTTCGCTCTCAATGGCCACGTCTCACCGCCATAGAGAAGGACGGAGCGAACTGCTGAGCAGTATACACGTCCCTTAGTTGACAGCCGGATGTCACGCCTACGCCAGAGACGCTGTAAGTTAGCGAAAGCAGCCCGAGCTTTCTGGATCCGTGCTGTGATTTCGTCACCAATCAATCCGTTGGTGCTGATACAACTTCCCAAATAGGTGAAGTGGTCAACATGTTCTATCACTTCACTCCCTATCACTAAGCTAGGAGTTGACGTAGTCCAGTCCTGTAGCAGCATCTTGCATTTCACAGGGGCGAATCGCATGCCAAACATACGAAGATTGCTGCTCAAGGTGTTCAGAAGACTCTGCATTTTGTCAGCGTCCTTCCCTAACAGGACTATGTCATCTGCATATTCTAAGTCTATAAGACTATACCCTGGTAACAAGTCGATTCCTAAGTCGTTAAGTTCAGTTAAGGATACTTCCATTAGCATATCTATGATGAAGTTAAACAGAAAAGGGGAAAGTGGACATCCTTGACGGACACCACTGGTTGTTATCAATTCAGATGAAAATTCCCCATAAGCCCTTACACAGCTACGTGAGTTTGAGTAGAGTGCCTTGATTAGTGCAATGTACTTTCTTGGCACTCCCTTCATAGTCAAACATTGCCATAGAACCTCTCTATCCACGGAGTCGAAGGCCGCCTTTAGGTCAAGAAAAATGGCAATTGTTGGACGCCTAAAAGTGTGTCTATGTTCTAGGATCTGTCGGAGAGTAAAGATATGATCTATGCACCCTCTACCTGGCCTAAAGCCCGCTTGATTTTCGTGCAAGAACACTATCCTGCATGGTTACGAAAAGGTGGTAGTGGAGCAATAAGCGCGATCATTGAACATCTGGTCGATAATGATCACCCTATATCTATAGCCTCCACCTTTAAAGTCATCTACAAGGCAAAAAGTAATTTACCCAAATCACTATGTACCCGACTCATCTGTATTGCTGAAGCTTTGGCTATCGAAACAGAAAAGTCAGATCTCTGTATACAAAAAAGTTTGTTCAACCCCTCCAACTTCCTTAGTCTTAATCTCTCTATGCTAAAGTATGGTAATCCCTAATCATATTTTGGCTCTACCAATTTTTCATTTTGTCTATTCAGTTTGTACTTTCTTCCTTTATTATGTCAGTTGTTACTATTACTATTCTCACTTTCAACTGTCCCCGGTATTATTTCACTTGTCATTCTAAATCAGTTCTATGCTATCAAATTTCACACAATCTTACGTAACGTTTCTATTTTATTAGATTTGTCTACTAATCCTATAATTGCTCACCCTTTTCAAGTTCTATCCATCCTATGAATTGTGCTATATATTACATTAATTGTTTTGCCAATTGGTATTTAACTATTATGGTCACAAACATTTCAGTTTTAATGTTATATGCCTCTAGTAATCTTCATTATTGTCAGTCGACACATGCCAGTCATACATGTATGTGATGTTAAGACATTAATTAGCCGGAGGAATCAAAATGAAAAACTATTTTGC